CGTGACAATATTTTATCCCATCCGGACCGGGACATGAGTTAGGTTTTATAAATACAAGAGCGGCATCTAGTTCGCCACGAGTGAAGACATCGTCCATGCAGCCATTAACAGCTGATGGTGCTGCAGCGGTAGGGACAGGACGACTTTTCGGCATGGAAACACTCGACGTGAGAAATGCACAAAACTCGTTTGCAAGATCCTTTTGTGAACATGCCGCCGACAACGCAAGTGCTCGGAATGGGTGATATTGTTGAGGAGGAGACTTAAGGCCTCGAGCTATTTTCCAAATCGCGGAGAGTGGCTTGCGGGGATCAATATTTTCACAAAATCCCCTGTATTTACGTTGACCGAGCTTGTCAAAATGGCGGTTTATTTTTTTCTGCAGATTTCTTGCCGCGCGAATATAGTCTTTTTCTTTAGTTCGTCGAGCACGCCTCTCCGCCTGTCGCCGGATGGCCCGAAGACGTTCGTACTCTGCGTCAATAGTTGTTCGCTTAAGTGGAAGGCTATGGCTATGGGTTGATGAGTGTGCAGAGTCAATGACAGCTTTTTCGAACTCAGAAAGGCCAGTCAGCGTATTGCATTTACCTCTCATGGACTGCTCAAACTCCCACCAATCAACTCGTTTGACAACATGACTCTTTTTGCCTGTGATGAATCCTTGTATAATTGTGTATGTGGGTATATGGTCACTGCCCCGAGTTTCAATATCTGTGAACCAAATAGCTTGAGACGCCAGAGCAAACGAGACAAATGTCAAATCCAGGCAACTGCTACTCTCTGCACCCCGGAGGTATGTGGGACTTCCATCATTTAATAGGGTAAATGATGTGTATGTGCTATGTCAGCAAGGCACCTACCCCGAGGATTTGTGCGATGGCTGCCCCATATATAGTGGTGTGCGTTAAAATCGCCTGTAATTATATGTGGCGATGGGACTGTGTTCAGAATGTTCTCTAAGCGTGCTCTGTCGAACTTGGACTTTGGAGGTATATAGCGTAGAGTAATGCCTGCAAACATGTTTTTGATGGTGAACGGGACGGAACCTTCAGCGCTCCGTGGCAAAGGGGACAGAACTCTTGTCTCCTTGGTGGTCTCGTTGATGCCTGTCCTAATTGAAGCCAGACGAAAGATGAAAACGTTTTCTTCGTATTCGACGCCCTTTTGAGGCGTCAGTTTTACGAACAACTATGCAAACGAATGGACAACATTCTTACTTACTGGGCCTTGTGTTTCTGCCTCTGATTGGCCGATTTTATTGAACCAGGTTGAAAGTAGAAGGTAGCCGGCCAGATCACTTCATTCGCATGCACCAGTCCCATTGTATTGCTTTGGTCTGAGTCTCGAAAACTCGCTATACGACCAGGCCTTGTCTTTCCAATGGAACAGCTCCTTCTAGTTTGCAAAGAATGCCAGGTCACAAGCATCCAAGTGGAGTGTCCAAGAGAAAAAAGAAGTTGAAGAAAAGGAAGAAAAGCTGCCAACGTTGACGCAGTATTTAACCAGTTGTCCCAAGACATCCCCAAATGAAACTGCACCATTTGGATCACCAGAAAGCCTAAATACTGACTACGGAGGTCAATCCATCAGCCAGGCTAAAGGAACTAGCGAAGGTTCTGTCCTGTCTACTCTACCCTGCCCACTCAATAATGCGTGTGAGCGTCTGCCACGGACCATATCCCAGCGACCTGCCATGCCCACGGAGAACAATCCCGACGAGCCCCTCCAACTTGGTGCTCAACAGTGTTCCCCAGGCCTGCACGCAACTGGACTTGAGCCAGTTGGTGACCACAGAAGTGGGGGTGACTTAGGAACACTTGCATCACCTTCTACCGAATCCAATGAGTCCCTAGAATTGTTTCAGCGTCCCCTCGAGGTAGGACCCGTCATTGTTGAAAGCAATCCAGCTAAGTGCCTTGCTGCTGTACCTGACAAATTTAGAACTTAATATAACAAGAACAGAATGCAATACTTTCGAAATAGTTTGGAATGTTTTCCTACCTTCGAGAGACAGTACACGAGCCAGAAACAATACCTATCTCCTAAATTTTTTTTAAGAAAGGCTGCTAATCGGGTGTTTTTGAGCGACACTGGCTCATGTACTTGCAGTCGAAAAAGTCAGTGTTTTGTTTCATGCGAAAATTGTTTGCCGTTCCAAACAGTGTCCGTCCTTTTGCAACTGGAAAGGAGCGGAAGAAAAAACAAGAGCTCATGAAGTCAGCGTAGACCACCGGAATGCCGTCGTTGTGTGGCTAGCTTGCACTACCGCTTTTGCCAGAATAGACAAAGAGTTAGTTTGACACTTTGTAACCCAGAGCGTTTACTGGAACGAAGTACTGAAGCAAGTCGTGGCATAGTAGCTAAAAAGTGTTTGGATCACCTACAAATGGCGACTTCTTAGGCATACTTAGTTATTGTGGAATTCGACCCCTTTCTGAGCAATCGCATCGCCCACTATGGCAACGAGGGTAGGGGTCACCCGTCGTATCTCTCGAAGCTCACTTGGGATAAGTTTATTGACTTGATGGCACAGACAGTGCGAAAGCGAATTGTCGAGGAGGTGCAACGTGCCAAATACTACTTTTCGATTGTTGATTCTACTCCCAACATCGCCCATGCTGACCAGCTGTCTGTTGCACTTCGATGTTGTTTAATGGGTATTGTTCATGAAAGGTTTATCGTATTTGTTCCAATTGAATCGCACACGGGTCAGTACCTGGCTGCAACAGTACTCTCTCTCCTCGACGCGAACGGCATTTCAATTCGTAGCTGCAGGGGTCAGTCTTATAACAGTGCCAGTAACAGGTCGGGGAAGTACAAGGTCTCTAAGCCCAGATTAAAGAAAAGTAACCACTAGCTGTTTATGTTCCTTGCTTGGGTCATTCTCCAAATCGAGGAGGAGCTTACAGTGTTGATTGCTGCGTAAAGACAGTGAAAATTTTCAGCCTAACTCGGAAGCTGTACGTATTCTGTTCTGCCTCATCAAAGCGCTGGAGATATTTTAGGAACAGCCTCCAACAAGGACAAAAATCCTCCGTCCTGAAAAGCCTGTCTGGCAATAGATGGTCAAAACACGCCGATTCCTGCAAAAAAATTATAGGTAATTTCAAACAAATCCAATTTGTCTGTGTAGCATGATGAACGACGAAGATGAGACCTGCGATACTCATATTGAAGCGCAGTCTCTTCTCAAGAAGTTCTCCAAGCTTGAACCGCGTTAATGGCAACACTGCTATTGACTTGTTGAACTCTCTTGACGGCTTCATGAATTCCCTCTGGCCTAAATTTGAAGCTTTCCAAGAGAGGGCAAAGGCACCGAGTGTAGAGCAGTGTTATCAAAGTAAACAAACTTGAGACCCTTCAGGGCGTATGACAGGACTCGCGGCAGCAAAAGGTCCGAGATAAATATGTTCTGCTTAGCAATGCATGCTAGCAAAGCTGTGCACATTAACATCTGCCAAAACTTTCGCTTTCTAACGGTTCTTACGGAGAATCAAAGCAACGACGAACTAGTCAAGCAAGCCGATAGGCTAGCGGAGATTTAATAGGACAACTTTGAGTCAAACTTTTCAACTTTCACATTATCTACAGAGTTGCACTTCTGAAAACAAAAGTGCTAGAAGACTTTTGAAATTGTTGCACAAGACACACATTGAATGAGTTTTTCCCAACCTTTCCATTGCTCATAAAATATAAGTGTGCATCCTCATATCAAACTGCGAGAGCGAACAATCCTTTTCAAAGCTGTCACTCGATTAAAAATTGCCTTCGCTCCGCTCTCGGCGAGGTAAAGTTGAATTCTCTCGCCATCATGTCTATCGAAAGGGACTTTTTGCGCGAGATATCTTTCGGTGCCACAATACCTGAATTTTCAAGTTTGAACAGTAGGAAGGTGCTGCTTTAAAATAATGTGCTTGTATTCCTGTGCTTTGAGAGTTGTTTCCATTTTTTTTTACTGCATTTGAAACGTCTGTGACCAAACAATTTCCCTTTATTCCCCCTTTTGCTCACTCTTAAAAACGCCCGTGCATTTACTTTCCTGCAGAACACTGGGAAAGCCAACGGGGTGAACTCTGTTAATGACGAAACAAAAATATAGAAATACAAAAGTAAAATCAGCGATGTGGCACTTGCGAGCATGTGAAATGTCATGCTCCATGTCATTTCAAAGACTTTATTTTTATGTGTGCATATTTTTTACCTTGTCATTCGCCGTGTTCTTTCCGATTGGCTTAGCTCTGCCGGAAAACTAACACATTTTTAAGGGATGTGCGAGAGGTGACAAGTGGTGATGGCCTTCACTATGGGATTTAATTCCCTCGGAATGCATAAAAACAGAAAAATGGAGACAAGACTGCATTAAACCGATTGTATACATTGTATTAGTCAGAAATTTGATTGCAAATATTGCAAACGTTTTAAAAAAGCATGTCCTCTTTTATTGAAACTTCATTTTTGACCAACATTATTTGTCATCATCGTTGTCGTCGTCCTCATCATCATCTCGGATTTCGGGGCTCTGGCCAGCATTAGCCCAGGGCCCTGAAATCTCTTAACCCGATCCTAGTCCACATACAGGGACAGGGATGAACATTTGACTCCCCGTGTGTTGGGGTTGAAAAGATTCCCGAACGCATTCGGGAATGTTCTGCGCTGCTTTGGAGGAGTCTCCGTACCGTCGGTACCTTTCCATTTAAATTTGCAGCGCAACATAATCTATTTTTATTTGCGACAATACGCCAACCAATGTGGACACCAGTGGTGAGGAAGCTATTTGTGCACACATTTTCGAGGTTGCAAGGCATGCAACCACAGCCGTGCGCAGAACCCCCAACCAGACAGTGCCTGGCCGGCAAGTTAGTGAAGCCTGGGGGGAATTTCGACCCCTCCTGGCATCGTTTCGACGCACCCCTCTTCCACCACGGCACAGGCCGCTCTCAAGCAGCACAGAATGTGAATGTGGAAATAAATGCGGAACTAACGAGACAGACCAGAGGTGCAACAGTGGACAAAGAGCGAGCTGTATTTTTACACAATGAGAGTGTCACGAAGGATGGCTGGCTAAAAGTCTAAAATGGTTTCCAAAAAGGAGGGGCCGGTGGCTATGTACAGGGGCTCTTCTGTATTGCGGGATGATGGCCACTGGAAATCGGAGTTGTGGAGCACCTCGACAGCCATCCAGGAAGGAAGACGAAGGTCACGCCACATCTTGGCCCCCGCATTTATCCCACATTTTCATCCCTAGCAGCTCCTTTCCAAAGCGGGCCTCGCTCTTTTTTACACAATTCATCCGTGCTTTACGCGACTACGACCGTTGGCTTATTTCAACGAAGCAAAGAACTCTGCACAGAAACGTGGGATCAAGCCTCTCGCACCTGTCAAATAACTCGATATTACTGCTTAAAAGGTGGCTAAAAGCCTTTACGATGAGGCCCGCTTTAGAATCTCCCTGTGAGGGGCAAAAACGTGGACCGGAGAGTGACCATCGTCTTCCGTCTTGCGCGCCCGTCGAGGAAAGTGACGGCGGTGCTGGTGGCAGCCCTCAAAGTGGCAGCAGGGGTGTCAGGGCCACTTGAAAGAACACCCTGCACACAGAAGGAGGCTCGAGTTATGAGACAGACACACATGCCACTACCCGCCGCTGCTTCTAAAAAAAAACATGCCACTCCATATACCGCATTTCGTCTTATTGCACGGTTGAAGTAGGCACTAATAGTTCATCACATTGTCCAAGTCAAAAGCTTCGGTTTTTCAATATGCATCAACTGAAGGTCAGTTTTTTTTTTGTTTTTTTTTCAGGGAAAATCTTGGCTATTTTAGTAGATAAAACACCTGTACTGGCCTTGCTTTACTAGGGAGTTTAGTAGATACCCTTGAAATTGATACAATGCACGCGCAAAGGTGTCGGGAGTTTATAGGTAGGGTTCCGTGTTTTCAGAGTTTATCCTCCGTCAAATTCGGAGGGTGTTTATTGGAGTTCATTTTTTGCCGCAAATTCCGAGTTTATCGGAGTTCAATTTTGTTTAATCGCCAATTCTCCGAAATTCTGTTTAATTTTGCTGTGTTTCTCATTAAAGACAGATAACTAATATCCAGGTGTAAACGTATGCTGGACAAAAAAACAATTACGTACAGTCGAATCTCGTGAATTCAAACTCGAGGGGGACCGAAAATTTGTCTGAATAAAGCAAAGTTTGAATTACTGGGAGTTTTCTCCCATAGAGACGCATAGGATGGGACCTGCATGTTAGTTTAAACTATCCGCAAGTTTGAATTAAGAAGGTTTGAATTAACGAGATTCCACTGTATATCAATTGATATTTTCTTCAGTTGTATTTGGCATTGGTGCCATTACTACTGGCAATACTAATTTGTTCTACGACAAAAGTTGCACCCAAGTGTTGCTTCGACAAATGTCGATATTTTAAGATCAATAAACTCCTAGAGGTACCGTAGAATACCGTGCATCTGCCCATACCACATTAAGCGCCCATTCCCAAATTTGTAAAATCTCAGCAAATATGCACAGTAAATTGATATGTAGGACTGGTGACCAGACAAGTGCCCATCCCCCATTTTTTCATGATTATCTCAAAATTTTGAGTGGGCGCTTGCCCGGTATTTTACGGTAGTCGCTGGGAAGCTTGTATTCATTCCATACTATTCCATCAGCCTACTGCACGACCACCGAGGATGTAACAGAAGTTTCAAGTGTCCCCCTTCCCTACTTTATGCAATCTCTAGGGTACATAGCTTTCACTGTTCCAAAAAAACAACCTCTCCTTCCTCCAAAGCACACATAGTATGACCCAAAACTGGAAACAAACTGACTTTTCCCGTGACCCAAAAGTACAATGACCTGTTGTCCTGACCGAAACTTGAAACAAAAATGTGGTTGCATCTTCCCAGGGCCATTGACTCTATGCGCTGATCAAACCATTAATTGTAAAATACTTTTGTGTGTGTTTGTGGGGGGGGGATTGGCACATCGAAATTTGGTGTTTATCGGAGAAATCCGAATTCACCAAAATTTTACCGGCGGGTGTTTTTCTCCAAAACCACGGAACCCTAATTATAGGGTATCGTGATTGAAGTTATTGGAACGACCTACTAGAACTCCCTACCACCTTCGTTATATCAGTCTCGACTAAAGACTCTTTACCCTGTAACGAAAGATAAGAGCCCCCCTTCCCTTTGTATGAAGGGGCTCTGATGCATTTATTAAGATTCTGTAGGTGTTAATGCAAATGACTACTTTCAGGGGCTAGATTCTTCGACAAATTTTGCAAAGTGTGGGGTGGGTTTAGGGTTTGCGCTTCAAAATAGTAAGCTAGTATACTTTTTTTTTTTTTTTATCTTGAAGGTAACGTTTTTGTGAAGACTAAGTAGTCCATAGGAATTAAGTAGGACAGCAGTTCTCAAACTGGGTTCCTGTAGGCCAAAGGGTTTTCATCAGACCCTACGCACAAGCCCTCCGATTCCCTCGACCGTCCCTCCCCAAAGACACCCAGTTATATTTTTTCAGTCACAGCACTACCTCAGTTGGCCCGATGCCTAACCATGAGCTAAACGCCCCTTGGTTATGCGTGTTATTGATTAGAAGGTCCACAGGCTTTAGCGCCGCTTTATTAGATCAGAGCCGATTCCAATCTAATAAACCTCGAGGAGTCCCCGCCGTAGGGCCAAACGAGCGGCAGCCTCGCCAGATCTGTCGGTAAACGGTAGCGAAACTAGAGACGACCCAGAGGGGCAGTCTCTTCGACCTCCTTCGAGAGATGCGGAGCGTGCTCACGTGTGCGAGTATTTGCAGCGGATGGCCTCGAGGTTGCCAGTCTGCTGAGTCGTGAGCAGCTGGTTCAGGTGCTTCTGGAGCTCCTCCAGCTCAGACTCGCCGTAGCCGGTCCAGTGCTCCAGCGCCGCAGACTGTACACAAGCAAACGCTCCCTTTAGAGAAGCACACAAGTTGAACGACACTATACCTCGCGCTCGAGCCATTACTACAGTATACACCTAAGCCGACGATAGAAGCTACGTGCTCGCCGAACCAACCAACCGCTGCCCTTTCGTTACCCGGCTCCGCTCTCTGCGCATGGGCGGAAGAGTGATCGCGAGCAGAAAGATAGATGCTCGATGGGGCCCGACAGGAAGGTAACTTGCACCACTCTGTCAGCTTAGTGATGGAGGGGATTATAGTTACCATTTGCTGCGATTCGTAACGAAAAATGTCGTTACAAAATATACTTTTAACTAAAGATTGGGTGGAGTATTCAGCCCCCTTGGAGGAAAAAACCTCTCTACATTGGCTTTAGTGTCCTATAAAAGGTGTGCATAAGTAATTTTTGACTATCGTTATGGCTAAAATGTAATTCACCTACTCAGAAATCCACACACTACTTGCCAAGGTATCGCACCCTTTTAGCTCTTAGTGAGAATAAGAAGCGAGAAAATAGGGAAAGGGTACAACTTTGATCGCACCTTTTACGTAGAAGCGGGATGCTTATACAAACAAACAACTTGTGAATGTTTAGTCACGATGTGGATAGGTCATAGTCATGCCATAAAAAGTGAAAGCAAACGAGATACTCCATTTAACTTAAAAGTGAGAGTGCAAGAGAAGCTACAAGAGCGAGTTCATCAAAGTTTTCACAGCCTCTGGTAAGCATGCACTCTCATGCAGTGGAAGCAGTGAAATAGGCCGCATTCTCCAGTCGCAGCTTCGACTTTGCTCGTGCGTAGAGTGAAACAAATCATTGTGCACCTTTAAAGAACAGCTCCAGCAAAATTTTGATGGTTGCCGATTTGCCTCAAAATTGTTTCAACACAACAGCGTGAGAGGTCCAGATTTGGATCTCACTGCTGTTTTTAAAGCCAAGTCTCTAGGATGCAGAGCAGAAAAGTGATGACAAATGCAAGTACAGCCTCAATTTTTGAACAGCAGAAATTGTTTTCGGTTGATTAGAAGAAGGTTGATGTGCGAAATAAATGGCGTGGAACTCTGAACTATGGTATCACGTCATTGAGAGTACCCAAGTTTTGTGGCACCATCTATCGGAAGTCAACAAAACCATTTCCTCTTCACCATAACCCTCCCCACCTTTCCCTAGGTGAACCATCTTTTGTCACGATCACCTGTAGCGGGTGCGGTTTTCCTGCTGTAGGCAAATTGGACCTTGAAAAGTCAACAATCACAGGGGGAGGGGAAGGTGAACTGAATGCGGAACTCCCAGTGACATCACTGCGCACCTCACAAGACCGAGTGTTCAAATTTAGGGGCACCCCAACCTTCGATTTGTTTCTTTTTTAATGCAGAATTCTTTTATCCAAATTCAAAGGAGAAAATCATGTTCTAAGTGACAGGCCAATTCACAAAATTCTTTGGCTAACTAATCGGCCCCTTAAGCAGAGAGAGAGGCCACCCACCCAGGCCATGCCCTTCATGCGCAGCGCCTGGAGCAGGGCGGCTGCGGCCAGGAGGGACTCCGGTCGATCCACCAGGGCATAGTCGAGCAGGGAGCTCTCGAGAACAAAGCGTGCCAGTGTCAGCGTCTCCAGGGCCAGGTGGGCACAGCGGGCGTAGCGCCGCAGGAACCGGTACGAGACGGGCAGGCCCAGCTCAAAGTCCAGCACTTTCAGCATGGTGATCTGCACAATTTCCCACTGTTCATGCTACACCCGGAGTACAAAAGGGTACAATATGGGGGTAAGGAGGGAACAAAAACTGCAATAATGCAGCTTGACAGGGCCCCTGACCTCTACATTTGTCGGCTTGGTGGGTAGAAAAAGCAACAAAATAGTTTGACAGGAATCAACGAATTATATGCGAGAAATAACTTGCATCGACTCCGCCGAGGACGGTCCGGGCTTTGCCGCGATCCAGAGACTGGCACGGTTACTGTGTCTCAAAATTAGCATAATGCTTTGCACTGCCATAAACGAGAAAGAACTGTGTGCGTCTGTGTTCGTCCTTCATGTGTTTTATTCTTTGTGTATTTTGAAAGGGCTCTCGATTGTTTTCACCAGAGGCACTGTGAAGTTTGAAGTCGTAAACATGCAGGTCAAATTTGGGGGATTTACGTGCCAAACCAACGAATGGACAGGTACCACCCCAATAAAAGTCTTACGAGTCTTTCTTATACCTTTGCATTTCTCCTATTACCCAAATCCGGCTTGATATGTTTTAGCCTAGAGTTTGCTAATCCTCATAAACTGTAAAAAAGTTTAATTAAAACAAGGGGCAAACCTTTCTATTACCTTAGCCCAAGTAATAAAGCGATGAAACCTGCACATATGTAAAGGCTTTCAGGATGATAGAAAGAAAGCATAAGCCAGAAAACAATTTCAAAGTCCGTACATGTCAATGTTGAGTGAAATCAAAGGGGCACTAAAGGGAATTTTGAAATCAACTCGATCTGTATGAAATATCGCAATTTTGAGTTCTTGGGGCGCATAAATTAAGTTTCCACCATAAAAACTCCGTCCAGGTTCATATAAGTGCCCTTTTAAATAACCACATTAATAATACATTTAACATACGGGTAGGATTTCTGTAACTGCTCAGTAGTTGTGTCATGCCAATGGTTATAAATTGGAATATAAGTCAATTAAGATTGTTTATTAGTAAGGTGCACATACACGCTACTAGAAAAGCAGACAAAGCCACAACCAGTTGGCTAGCTTGAGCTAACTAAAATAAGGCATCTATGGCGCAGAGTAAGAGGGAATGCCTCCGTGGCAACTTCGCACTTAGAGCCCATACAGCACACCTGAACCACAGAAATTCTTTTTTGATCCCAAGGATGAAGTCTGTTCATACAAAATGTGTTTATATGGAATTCCTCGGAGCTTGTAACAAAATTTGCAGTTACTTTTTTTTTTTTTGGTTACACAGATAGAAGCTAAGCGTGGAGGAGGCAAGGATGCACAAGGACAGAGGAGCACCAAGTTCTGGTCAAAACGATTAGTGGATAGATGCAAAGATCGCTGCCTTTGTCCCTACATGCTGTTAGATCGTGTACAAGCGCCGAACGCCAGCATTTGCCACTGCCCCTTTTGTGCAGTGGTAGATTGCCGGGTTCATAATCCGGGGTTGTTGGTTTGGTTCCCGCCGGGGCGCATTCTAAATTTTGTTTTCTTTTCAATTACGCTCTTTTTCTTCGTGAAGATTGTTCTCTGAAGTATGTCACACACTTTGTAAGAGTTTCTGTGGCATTCAGTCATACTTTCCCTAGGGATCCCAGTCCTCAAACATATATCGTAGAATACCCCGCATTGGCCCGCTCCCACATTAAGTGCCCATAGCCAAATTTCTAAGGTATGAAAAAATATGCACAGTATATTTACATCTAAAATTGATGACCGGACAAGCGCCCATCCCCCATTTTTTTCGCGATTATCTCTAAATTTTGAGTGGGCGCTTGCCCGGCATTTTACGGTAATGCGTCACAAGAGCTCTGAGCACCTCCATGGCGAGCAGCTCCTGGCGGCTGTAGGCGTCGTCGCAGATGTACAGGAAGTCCTGGACGGCGGGCGGCAAGCGCTCGTCGAACTTGCAGGCCAGGAAGAGGGCGGTGGCCCCCACCAGCTGTAGCTGGGTCTTGGGCGTGGGTGCCAGCGACAGGTAGCGGTCCACCATCTTCACCCCCAAGTACAGCGTCTCGTGGTTCAGCTCAAAGTTCTCCTGCACCTCCACCATCCAGTCCACCAGGATGGCGCGCATGGCTGCCGACAGTTCGGGCTGGCGCTCCAGGTACGGGGCCGTCCGGAAGCGCACCTGCAACAAGGCGCCCCAGCTGCAGTCGTGGCCTCGGCTGTCGCCGCTCAACGTCCTCGAAGTACCGCATTTCGTGGCGTCGGCCACGCCGGAGGAAACGAACCGGACGAGCTTTCCAATTGGCCGGCGTCCGTAGAGAATGAAAAATTTTATATGACGAGATCTAGGGGAAGACCCAAGGTGAAGGTTTACGCAACAATACTTATTCTCACGTAAATGCTCTTTTTCGTTGCAGACTTCCCTTTAATCTCATATCAAATCATTACAGACTGAACTCACCCTCGTGGCAGTTAAGATTAGGTAACATCAGTTTGCTCTACTGACTGCCAGCTTCTGGTCAGCTCAGGCGGTAGAGCGCTCTGCTAGTCTTGGAGAGGTTCTGGGATTGTATCCCGAACCAGGCAGATTTCTTCAGCGACCACCAGTCGCTTAGAGGACGCGTGTTGCACACCATTTCAAGTAGAGGCCAATTTAATCTTAGGAAAAAAAACAACATATATGCAGCAAGGCAGTTGCGAGCAACCAGCAAACTGCAACTTGTCAGAAGCCAATACATTCCTGCTAGTCCCCAAAAGCAGAACCTCGGGAGATTTGATAGCGTGCAAGTGAATTCTGTTCGGCCTCTCCACTCCGACTGCGCAAGGTCGCCAGACAGCAGTCGTTGATATGGACACCGCAACGCAGTCAACAGATCGGTACTCCGAGAACATTCAGTGGCTCCAGTCACTGCATGTGCTGTCTTGCGGCAGTGTGTCTGCTATGGGCACAATAGACCATTCCGAAAATATGCAGTGCCTCTTATTACCTTTCTGACGTACTAAGGCGATCCGATGTATGGCACATCAAGAGGTACCCACAAACAGAAGGAGGAGCTCCTGTTTGTTTAGCATTTTGCGATTTCAGAATGCAAAGAAAACGGGATGATAACGTAACAGGCTATGAATCGACTCTGAAACCTGTTTGCTCCGTTTTCCTTTGTGTCTTGCTTGCAGTGGTAGGAGGGAAGGAATCAGTTCCCGGATGTACGAAGCGTACGAGCGTGCCCGAGCGTACGTTGAAACGACCCCATAATGCCCCGATCCGCGCGGCGCAATGCGGGATTGACGAGGCGCCTCGTGGAAATTTACCGAAAGGTCTATTGGTCAAAATGACGTCAGTTCTTCGGAGAAACGTGCCGTGCACCAATGGCGTCGAACCTGCGAAGATCTCTGCATCACGAGCACCCAAGTTTGGAGTCTGGGATGCTGGGTTTCAAATCTCTCTAGTTGATTGCTAACCCTACCCCCGGGGCGGTTGAGCACGTTCCGTAAACAGGCACCTGGAAGTCCTACCTCCCGCTCCTTGTAATACCGGAAGATGTCGGCGGCGTACGTAGACTCTGCAAAGGGGTCGTCCTTGGACTCGATGTCGAAGTCTGCCACGCCCTCCGGAAGCGGGGGCTGGGGGATCGCAGTCTTCTCCTCTGGCTCCACCTTGGGACTGCGAGAATGGCAAAAAGAAAGACGGCTAGGCACAGGCGCCCGAGGCAGAACAAAGACGGCACATAGTACGTCTCTGCACAGCCTACGGCCAAATGGCTCCTGAAATAGAGGATGCACCCCCCTTTAGTGCTGCCACATGCGCGGCACATTAAAAAGTAAAAGCTCGACTCTGTCCGTTGGCGAACGAGAACAACTAAATTCGGAACCAAAGCACAGAAAAGTCTGTCGTGCCACTTAGCCGCCATCACTCCTTTGCGGAGTCAAGAACGTAAAAGAATGGTGCCTCATGTTTGCACGGTAAATGCTAGGCAACGCCCATTAAGTGCAATCATTTGCTTATCATGTGGCCTGTTTTCCTTCTATTATACAATAATGTGCACATTGTTTTGTCTGGTCCCCCAGACAAGCCCTTTTAGGGGGCAGACCCCTCATACATGCATATTTAAAATAAATTTATAGTCATTATTATTTATTTACAATATAGGTAAACAACAGCAAAGTTAGGGGAAGTCCAGCATTGGCCGTACAGTCTGAACCCTATTGCGACGGATGCACTGTGATGCAATTAATGTTTTAAACACCTTACATGTGGGGCATATGAGTGGACGCAAGTCTGAAACCACGCAGCACAGACAGCACGGACCCAACGCTAATGCACTGTTCATGCCGAACACGTGCCGGGCGGATAATCGGCACAGTTAAGCGGTTGCGTCGGGGTGGTGGACGAAGCGTGCTCTGGAGCAAGGCTTTTCAAGCCGGGATTTCGGCAAACCCCTCGTGGGTTTCCCAGAAGCTCCAAAATTTCCTTGGCCGTCTCTGCCCCTAAACGAAGTGTTCTCCTAGACTAAGGATTCTTTTACAAGAGGCATCTATATGTGCATAACCATGTGGCGCACATTTCCTAACATGAGTCTTTGCAAGGTCCGTAGGCTTCTGCAACGCTTGAATGCAGCAATGCTGAAACCAGTAGGGGTTCCCTGGCTGCCATTGAAGAGGGGTCCTCAAGATGCGCGAGAAGCCCTGCCCCGAAGCACGGCAATTATTTAAGATTAATTCATTTGTTTTCTGCACTTGTGAACAGCCTGAGATTACAAACGAGTCGGAAAGGACTTGGATGCTAGAACATTTCACTTACAAACGTCAATATTCGCTGCACAGTGGGTGTATTACGGGTCATGGGGCTAATTGAGATAATTTGATTAAAAAGTTAAGTTGGCGGAACTCAAAGCCCGCCAGTTCCCCAAGTCTCCGAGTTTCTCCTACTTTTTGTGTTAACCAAATCGTCTAGGTTAGCCCCACGACCCACACCCTCAGTGAAGCGGGAGCCAGTTCGGCAAGCGGAACAGAGTCTCACCTGGCTTCCAGTTTAACGGTGGCGGGCTTCCGACAGCGCAGAGAATGCCGGCAGGGCTTGCCCCGCTCGCCGACCGCAGGGGCGGGGTTGGTGATGTCGCCGAGGACGGCACGCTTGAGCGGGATCTTGGAGTCTGCATGGGGCTCGGCCGGCCGCTTGAGGCACACTGCAACACCCTGGTCGCAAATGCCAAGCGGGGGTTACCCCTTGCACCGGTACGACCGACTTATTGGGCCGCATAAAGCTGCTAACAACAAAAGAATCTGCAGACACTGTCCGAGGAGCAAGGCCATACAAAAGCTGCCTGCAGACGCGTTCACAGCACACATATGTAGGAAGCAAACATGCTTCGAAGATGCCCGAGACGTGTCCACAGATAATTTTGTTGCGTCTGCAGCAAACCCCGTGTCTTTTGTATGACGTACGACCAGTGTGACTGTGGCTTAAAACTTCCCCAAGTCGCAACTTTGTTGTGGGTACGAGTCCTTTTAAGATCTCTATGTATGACTGCCTGAACCAACTACAAAACAATTTGAGTAAGGGAAACACTGGGGAAGTGCCCCATGCAAATGTAAAAGGGTATGAAGCCACAGCCTTCTACTCTCAGTGGCCAGGCCGACCAGTGTAGTTGTTCTCTAGAGCCACGCGTTTGTCCAAATAATTGCCAACGCAGCCGTCAGCACTGTTGTGCCGACCAGTGCTTGCACCGTAGGCAACAAAATGAAGCCATTCACAAGTGCCATAAAAACTGAAATAAAGAATAAAAAAAAGGTTGGAGCACGGCTGTAGTTTTATTTGTTGTAAACTGCCACCAGGGAGGCCTCCTCGTGGTGTACACAATCAATGAAGGCTATCAACAAATTAACCGTTTGTGCACTCGCAGAACCGCTTCATTAGCGGTTCTGCGAGTGCAATTAATAAATAAATAAATTAGATTTAGTTTATTTCACCCAAGAGGGATCTTGCGATGCATTACGTAAGGAGGAAACCAAGAAAGTGGAAGTCCGAGATTCGTAACACATTTCACTCACTTGCTTGCTGCCATTCTTGTCCGCCCCTTGTCTAGTTGCTTTGGTAGTCATCGGGTGTGGTGGTCTGAAGCGGAAAACAGACAGCGGGAAGTCAAAGAAAATTACCGTCTCGACTTGGCTGCCTAGTTTCGCATCTGGATCGAAGGCAAGCACGCAGGGAACACGCTGCCAGGCCACGTCACAAACGGATGTCGGGGTCTGGAGCCCGGGTAGCCCGGGTCCCGCCTCGAATTAATTTAACTTATTCGGCTAAGGAGGGTCAAGAGAACTGCGGAAACGCCGGAGCTCCTGCTAGGCGTGGCAGGGTTCTCAAGGGATTGGGACAACCCCTTGAGAACTCTGCCACGTTGCCACGTGGACATACCCGCTGGTGCGGGAATTTCGAAGCAGGCACGACCATGGCATTCGTGCAGACGCACAAATGGCACGGCTGGCATATGGGGAGAAACGCACGACCGGTGCTTCGGGCAAGCTGACGTGTTTCCCGTTCACATTTCTCTTACATCGTACACCTCCTATCGTTAAGGTATTCCGTAAAATAAAACTCTTAAGTTTAACATTTAATCGCGCAACACCGTCTAAAAATAGCACATATAGCAGCACGAAGCGATTCAACAAAGGGAAACAGCCGTGCTGTGAAGTTTGCCCCAGCCGCCATGGCGATTGGTGACTGCCGCGCACCTGTAACTCACGATGCTGCGAAGTTTGATGTCGGCTTTGAGATGTGTTGGAATCAGGAACCTCTGTTTGAGGGACGCGGCAGAGACGCCGACAAGTGCTATAATGCGAATTGTTTTATGGCACCCGTGCAACCGACGCGGGACGGCACCGACCACAAATTTGAAGTCTCCACTGGATTTCACCGCCCTTTGTGCTCCTTCCTGACTGGACCAATCGCAGCGAGGAACCTCTCTACGTCACCAATCAACCCAGTGTGACTGGACTAGCAGGCAACTCGTACCAGAATCAGCAAAGTTTTGCTGGTTACCTAATAATAAAAAATGCTTGTAGTATAGGTGGTATTCACTGAGCCTGCAGGTTCGATTTTGCCAGGGAGCGCCACCGTCGATCCGCCATCTTCGAGGTCTCGGTTTGACTGGCTTGGGTACGCTACGCGGTCGTCCGCTGCTAGTGTGTGCTAATTTCATATCGTTGAAGCTTCGTAGAACAGAAGAGAGAAGAAAAGTTGGTCTCGGGGGCGGGCCGTTTTTTTTGTTGCTGCCGAGTACCGTGTGTAAAGGCTGAACCGCATGTAAGCAATTTGGCGAGCGACGGGACGAGACGAGTGACAGCGACTAGAGCACTATATAGCTCCTTCGGAGCAGAGTAGCGCAATCTAGAACGCCGTCTCTCGGCGACTAGCGGCGAACGCCCGGAGGTTCCAACTGCGGTCAGAAATGCATGGAGAACGTGAGAAAATCGTTGTTTCTTCAGTTTTGTGGGGATGTGCGGAATGGAAATCATTTTTGACATAATAATGAAACATTTTAGAATAATATGCGATAAGTTTTGTGCCATACAAGGACGTAACTTTTTTTTAAAAATTGCCTGAGCGGCATCATGCAGCAGACGACACGGCGACGTCACACCATTCACGTGACCCGCTCCGGCCAACCCGAAAAGCCCATCTCCGCTGCGAGCGAAAATCGTCTGCTTCAAACGCCATTGCCTTGGAAATTGCCTTCTCAAATTTTGCACACGCATCCGATATTATTAAAACTTTGATGAAGTGTTTAGCGCTTTACTAACTTCACGACAGGATAGTTTTGAAAAATGTGAACTCGCCGCTAGTTTTTTAATCAGCCGTGTTATGTCGATCTCCATGTATTCTCCCATAGGGCGGGCCGCCTCTTGGAACCCTGAGTACCACGTGACTCGCGCCGAGCCGCTCTGTCGGCCATGTTGTCGGCAAAACACGGGGTTCAAAGGATTGCGCTACTCTGCTCCGTAGGAGCTATATAGTGCTCTAACAGCGACGAGACAAGCGACGACGACCCACTTCGCTATCGCTCGGTCACTCGCGCGACGTGGCAAACCGCATGAAAGCGACGGGAGCAAGCGACCGAGGCGATAAGCGACCCTTTGTAGAAATCCAAAAACCGAGCGACGCGACGACTGACCGCTAGAAATCTCCGTCGCTCGTCGCCGACTCCCGTCGCTGTCGCCATCGCTCGCTAAATCGCTTACATGCGGTTCACCCTTCACTGTCACTCGTCGCGTAGCTCGGTTTTGGGATTTCTAGAAAACTTAGCGCTCATCGCCTTGGTCGTGTGCTCTCGTCGCTTTCATGCGGTTTGCCTCGTCGCGCGAGTGACCGAGCGGCAGCGAAGCGGGTCGCCGTCGCTTGTCTTCCCGCTCGCCAAATCGCTTACATGCGGTTTTTAAATCGCTTGGGCTAATGAAAAATGCGCCGCATTTTTCATAAGCTGCGCACTCTGTGAGCCGCACGGTATGTTTCTGCACAGGAACGAACACCGAAGCACGACGTATGTACGACACAGCGGCGATGGAGCAACACGGTTATACTGCCGTAGTACAGAAAATCCGCTAGAGAAAAACAATAAAGAAACTAGCAAAACAAAACAAAGAGTAATCACACTGTGCTACAAAAGCACCAAAGTAGAAAAATTAGTTCTTGCAAGAGCTACCGCCGTCGGCACGGCGGGCGACACGGAGCGCTTCATGGAGCCGAGGGAGCAACGCGGCCGCGGTAAACGAGTCCGATAACGACAAAAACGAACTAAAACACACAAAAAATACTCCCACAGCGCTTCAAAAGCACCAAAGTATAAGAATAACCACTAGTTTCGATCAAAAAGACCCTTTAAAGTTGTAAAATACTGCTAAACCAAGCTCAAAAGGTCCGGCCAGATGGCATTCGCGATAGCAAGAGACCTCGAAGATGGCGACCGTGGTGGGCGATGCCAGCGAACCTAGCGAGTGACGTCAAGATACAGATTCGAAATTGATTCAAGACCTCAAATTACGGTCTCCTACATACGTGCTACAAGAACAGCTCAGTGATAACAGTTTTCGGATGGATGAATAATAACAGCTGTACCCTTTTGAACAGCCTTTTTAACGAACTGGGGAAAAAAAATAACAAACAAATACACACGTAAACAAAAAGCACCGGAAAATTTATAGAGTACATTATAACAACTCTATGGGAAAATCACGGAAAGTTATAGCGTCTCCGTTCTGCAGCGTCCTCTAAGGTGCTTGTAGTGAATAGATTGAATGTCAAGTCAGTACGTCGCTTCTGGTCTCGGCGCCTGTGTCGGGGGTGTGTTTCGTTTTGTTCTCTTATAAGGCGCTGGTACAAAACAATCTTGCCAACTCTTTCCCGGTGCGTCTACCTGTGGCCTAGACATGCAGAGCATGATCAACACCGTCAAAGGGACGGCCCTGGGCTTTGCGGACCGACTGACGCCGATTTTGAAGGTGCGTGCAAAGCCTTGTTTTCCTCGCTCCTTAATCTGCGTAATCTTCGCCCAAGTGTCTTTTGTTGTGTCACGCGTCGTTCGAAATCCTCGCAGGAATCCAAGTTCAAGGAAACCGGAGTCATCACCCCCGAAGAGGTAATCATACTAGTTTACAAAGGCGGGACGCCGACCTAGATCGACACACATTGCATCGATTGAAATGCGATCATCTTTTGGACACTGACACCGATATAATCTTGAAATATTTCGTAAAATCTTCGTCGAAACACCGTCATTGATATGCAATCAGCAGTGATAGAAAAAAAAAAAAATCGGGTGTCACGTAATCTGTTAATAAGTCTAACATCGAGCGTAGAAGTTAGTTCGACCATCCGATAACACGTTCGCATCGGAGTGCCGGCGATCCCAGCGTCAAGCTTTGCCGACACTAGTTTCACATGCCCGGGATTGCAGTACCTCTTTTGTAGTGGCGTGCTTTACGTCTGTGCTCTCGCAACTGCACCAAACGAACCGGAAAGAGAAGCGAAAGATGGCATTGCCCTCCCATTGCTCAATAATTGTCCTATTCCTCCTCACTGTTTTGAGCACACTAAAATTCTAGTGTATCTAATCAGCCTAGTAAATACAGGGCAGACAGATGAACATCAGGTGACGCAATGCTGGCAGAGCGAATTGATACGCATAAATGTGACCTGCACCTTTCGCTTTAGTCGGCTCTTGGAGGCATGGAGTATTTTCGTGGTGTTCCCCGGGTTGCTCCTGCGTGAAACCGGATGTGGAACGGAACACGGTCGCATTAGTTGACGGTGCAATGTAACTCCCCGAGGAAGTGGCTCGGCATTTTTATTGTCACTTGCCTTGTTGGTACTAGAGGCCCAATATCGATGTTTCAAGAGGAAGCAAAGGATAGGACAGATAGGTCACAAAATGAACTTACTCTGGAAAACAATACCTTCAGCGCTATATTTACGTTCCGAGACACATTTCGAGTTGGGAACAATTCCGAAACAAACTTTCGAGAAGTCCACCTTGAAATGGAAGTTAGATTTTGGAATTGCTCGTACTGAAAAGTGTTTCATACAGTGTAAATATTGTGCTAAATTTTATTTTTTCGGGAAAAGATTTTTTCTCTGTTTAATGTGACATGTTATAAACATTTATCCAAACCCACACACACACACAAATGGGGGCATTTATTATTTTTTTTAAAAAGGCATCAAAGTGCTTTTTGAGATCCTTGTTTTATGGTCATATAACTTAATCTACGAGCTCTAAGCCCTTCGCTCTAAGCCATCTTGGCTCTAAGCCATCTAAGGCTCTAAGCGGATGGCTCTGAGCCATCCTAAAAAACCTGAAATTGCATTTATGTGTGGCCGATTTGCTTATTAAAAAAGTGCTAAAAGATTGCAACACTTACCATTGACGCAGAAGGACAGATTGGGCAATCAAACCTTGCTGAATTTGGTGGAATGACGGACGACACTTTCCAGTCACTCACAAGCGGTGGGGTTCCGCCCATGGACAAGTGGGAATGGTCAGCCACTCGTCTACGCGGGAACCACTCGCTCGCAAGTGGCTGACAAGTGCCATCCGTCGTCCAACCATATTCAGCAAGGCTCTGTAGCATCACCTGTCGTTCTGCGCCAACGGTGTCGCAACCTTTTATCACTTTTTTAGTACGCAAATCGACCGCACATGAATGCGATTTCGGGTTTTTTAGGTTGCTTAGAGCTTGTAGATTGAGTTATGATCATAAAACGAGGATCTCAAAGAGCACTTTGTTGCCCCTCTAGGGTGCGACAGGTTTTGCTTTAGTTGCTGCGGAAGGCGGCACGGCTGTCCAGGGCATTGCCGGGCGAGCAGAGTGGACGGTGATGTGGCGTGTGTGCAGTTTGTGCTTGCAGGGGACCACCTGGTGCACCACTGCCCCACCTGGCAGTGGGCAACCGGAGAGGGCCTGCCGGCCAAGTCCTACCTGCCCCCCGACAAGCAGTTCCTTGTCACGCGAAATGGTGAGGCCAAAACGTTCATCTGTAAAGAGGTCAGAGCTCGTCTGTCGGTTATGCGCGCATACGTTGAAAGCAGCCAGCCAAGTTAGCCAAGCTGCGAGGCGTCGTGCACAAATGTCGTAACTGCCCGGAAACCGTTTTGAAATTGGCGTTTCTCGTAGTATTTCCACCTTTACGCCCTTTGCTCGCTTACAATGTGTGAGCCTGTTGCAGCTCTGCCTGCTTGTTCTGGTTTGTACGATCGCTACCCTTCATTGATACAGTATTAACGGAGAATTTCATTCTTACAAAAGCTAACCTTGATATAACCTTGAAAAGTGAGCGTCATGCGCCAAGGTCGGTTGAAGACAGTTGGCCGAGGTACGAGAGACGACTCCGAGACGTTTCGAAATGACTTCGCCAGCTGCAAAAAGCTTAAAAAACAAAAACAAAAAAATGGTACAAAAGGACATCATGATACTAGACTCTGTGTTGTGCGCTTGTAAGGCCATGACTGGAGTTGACTCCTGCTGCATTCCTCGTAAAATGCTATTCTGCATGCCACGCTCTGATTGATAGATCGAAATGCAACTGCATATTTCTTGCACCTGCTTTTCTATCGCGAATTTGGCCGTCTGGGTACCTCTCCGAGTCCTCATCTTTGAGCCCAAGAAGATTGCATTGTTTTCTCGCTTTGATAGAGCCATTAACGAAAGTGCCCGAAGGTTACGTTTTTTCTGTGCCTCGCTCCAGTGCCATGCTACAAGCGTTGCAAGCACATGGAGTACTCGATGGACCAAGAGAAGGTGCTCGAGGAGGAAGGGGACGAAGACGGAGGCTGGGTCGACACCCACCACTACTCAGGTGAGGGTGGCACGCCCACGGCCGACATTGGGCCCCAGGGACGGCTCTACCCAACTTCTATTGCCGAGGGAAGAGGACGGGGCAGTTCGGTTTATGAGGAAGAGCAAGGTTTGAACGAATGGAGATGATGAAAAAGAATGTGAGCCTCGTCAATTTACTTTTTGTGAGAACTAATTTGTGTCGCTCGATTTATGGATTGGTAAGTGTTCTTTCAGAAAACTAGTTAGGGTGAGAAAACTGTGTTATAGCCCCCTTAAGCGGGGAGTCTAGTCCCTGGTGCGCTTAATCTACGAATATACTAGTCCCTGACGAGATGAAAACACCAGGGAGGAGTTTTGGTTGTCCCGCCCCCGGCTTGAGCTTCCCACGTTGGCCAGTGCCTGGGCATCTTGTGCACTTGGAGTGGGCGTGTGCAGCCAGGACGCTGCGGCAGGCATGGAGTGCACGCTAGAGGCCGGACATTGGAAAGACGCGCCATTCTGGTTCTCTCGATGGCTATAGATTAGCAGGGGAGGGACTGGTAACAGGGAAGTGTTGTTGCTTTCACGGGAATTGCAGCACCTGTACTCTACTAGGAGATGCATTAACCCCTTGACTGGGGAAGCACGTCTTTAGACTTTCCTCTATTTTGACCTTGGAATGGGGAGTGCATTTGAAGATTCGCGACGCTTTCTTTGGACAGAGGGATTGTGCGCCAATTTTCGGTGGAGGTTTTGGTCACTGCCACGTATCAAGTACAATACCAAGCACCATTTAGGTTTACCGTAGAATACTGCGCATCTGCCCATTCCACATTAAGCGCCCATATCCAAATTTCTAAGATCTGAGAAAATATGCGCTGTACATTTACATGTAAAATTGATGACCGGACACGTGCCCATCCCCCATATTTTCGCGATTATCTCTAAATTTTGAGTGGGCACTTGCCCGGTACTTTACGGTATTTGCGTTTGCTGGCTGGAGAAATCATTGAAACGCTTTGTCAGGAAATCTGTTTTCTTGTTTTTCTTCTGGAGATAATGGATGCTCTGAAGTGGAGCAAAACTTTTGAGACACGAAAAATGTGGCACTTCTTTAGCGATGTGACGACGATGACTTGGAAATTAGTAAATGCAAAACTCACCAAGGCATGGTTACATAGCCAAGAAAATCTCCCCACTTAAAGAACATATGCAAAGAAGTTTTTTTTTTATTTTTTAAATGCCTGGATGGGAAGAAAATGTCAAAACAAATTTACAACGAAAATAATTCCTTTTTAAAGCTATATTTATGGCTTGAAACAATTTTTTGTTAGCATTCTGTAACAGTCGTCTTTTCCACTTTTTTTTCTCGCGCCTGTGCGCTTCACATGGAGGAAAGGTAAGCTACTTGGATTGGCTTGGCTGCTCGGCTGAAAAACGTACTCAAGCCTCGTGCGACTTCCACTCAACTTTGGTGTGCGCTGTGCTCTTGGGTTTCTGTGCTGGAGGTGGTTGCAGTGGTAGTCTGCCTCTTTTGCGATGGCTCCGGAAGTGAAACGTAGACTTCTCGACCGCATCATGCAGCTAGGGCTTCTCCCCTACGAGGACACGCCTCAAACGGTTGCGGCGGGTCGCAGCTCCTGCTGGAGTCGTACGATTCGAAACGGAAGTGACAATTTTCTTACACTTGTTGTTTCTCAAACGTCAAAATCTTTTGTTATAAAAGAAGTGCAACAAAAAAGTGAAGATTAATAAGTAACGTTTAGAGCTCGTAGAAAGATCCCTAAAGAGTGCAAGCACCACGTGACTGTAGTGGCCAGTCACGCGACTGTTAGTAGCCACTTTTACGGGGGCTCTTGCATGCATCAACTACAAGTTTGTTTTGCGCCATAGATATTGCCGCGCGCAGCTGGCCAAGTAGGCAATGGACCCATGGCCAAATGGTTATCGTGCTTGACTCCCACGCAAAGGGCCGAGGTTCACTGCCTGAAAGCAGACACACCCTTTTTTTTTTATTTGTGTAAATGTCGCGTTTTGGTGTATTCGAGAATTCTGTTGCTTATTCAAGGTCCGAATGTCCTACGCGCCGAACCTTCTACGCCGATTGTTCAAGAAGCCCACGCGTGTACAGAAGGAGCTCCGTGTGGCAAATTGGAGTCAATGTCGCCCCAGGGCTCAATCCTGCTGTTTCGCCGACATCGACGCGTGCTACTCTAAACTTCCATTTTGTTTTGGGCACAAATTCGCCCCATTAAATGTTTAGTTCCTCCAGTTAGTCACCGTCTCACTATTTGTCACCCGTGACAATATAGCTCTAAAAATTTTGTTTCTTCATTGTAATTTTATTCTACAACATCCTTTTTTCTATCCAGGCTGTTTAATTTTTTTTCCCTTTGGTAATGATTTTTAAGGTGTTAAGGTGTGACCCAATCTTACGACATGCTGCCGAGCTCTGCAGCAGTAATACACTTTGCCACAGTCTCCCCATTCACTTCGTACTGTATTGGAAAAGTACCCACTGATTTCTTTGTTTTATCATTTCTATTTACTTCTACGATTTCTTTGTGACTATTTTCTCCCTAATTCTTTAAGAGTATTGACGAAAAAAATAATTTTTATATCTTCGCATCGACAGTTTGTCCTGTTGATGTGCTAGTGGACTCCCTTTTGTTCATTCAACTTTCTGTGTTTGTGACATACTTTACAGATGGCACCACCTCTGGACTGGCAGAGCAGGTGCAGGAAATGACGCTGGAACCTAATGTGAGTGTCGAAACCACTTCCATTTGTCTTACCTAATCCTCCAAAAGTTGGCATGCTGGAACTCTGGGTGGCTCACATAAAACAAAAGAAATCGCAAAGGTAGCGGAAGCCACTGGAAACAATTGGAAAGGGAACTTGCAGCTTCCTTTGGGCTGCAAAATCAAAGTCTTGTAGCAAAATATCCGCTGCTCCTCCAAGGTTTCCAGGAAATTCCTTGACGTCTTTCGGATTAGCTTCGCATAGCTTTGACCGAAGCTCATTATTCTAGTTCTTTGGCACCTGTGTTTCATAGTTGTGATTCTTTTTTTTCCAAGCTATAGTGGAGCCTAAAAGAGCCTCGACAACCTGTTCCACTTTTCACAGTATACAGTACAATCTCGTTAATTCAAACTCGCGGATAATTCAAACTAACATGCAAGTCCTGTCCTGTGTGTTTCTAGGAAAGAAACTCCGGGTAATTCAAACATTGCATTATTCAAACAAAGCTGTGGTCCCCCTTGGGTTCAAATTCACTAGATTCTCCTGTACTGCTTTGAAGACTTAAAGGGATCAAAAACACATTTTTTAAGTTCCACTTGGAGACTAGCCTACAAGCTCGGTTTTCCGCGGGGAGGATAATCTCGGCCTCCTTCTTTCCTAAACTGTGAGTGGAGCAAAGGAAAGAAAGAGGTGACTACAGTGATGAGAGTGCTGTGTCATTGGCACCAAATTTCACCGGGAATGAAAGCCTGCTACGTCTTGTGCCAAAATGCCATTTTTGCTAAGAATTTGCTCCACACCTGCGCTGACATGGGCGGGCCCATGTCACTGCTTAGAAAAAAACAAATTCTGCAAAAGAAGTTGATTTTAAAGAAATGCCATACTAACATCCACCAACATATAGAGAGTGCTCCCAGAAAGTTTCATTAGTTTACTTTGCATAGTTCATTTTTTATCAATTATTTTCGGTCCACCGACGCTAAAATAGAGGTAAAGGTTGGAGTACTTTGAACACAATTTTTTTTTCCATTCCACTTTTTGGCATAAATTTTACACTAGAAAAATTGTTGTTTTGTTATTACGTAACTTGGATTAATTTTATGAGTTTTTCTGGGTGAAATTTTAAGAAGAACGTAGCTATGAGCTTGTATTTTTTTTTTTTTGTCATGTTTCCTGTTCTAGAGTTAAAATTTTGGACAAAGGATGGAAATCTAAAAAACAGTGTTTGTGTTTATGTTGCTTTTATGAAGCTGGTATAATATAGAAATATAGCTCCATAGCTATCTGCTCTGAACTGTCCTAAAGCAATATAACACATGAAAACAACAAATTTATAAGTTATCTCAAAACAATAGTTTTCCTACGCAGACTTTCATCTGAACATTTGCAATTTTTTTTGGTACTTCACCCGGGTTAGCAAAATATGGCAGAAATGCTCTTAGCATCAAGAGAAACAGGCCCTGTAGATGTCATTTAAATTGGGCAAGTGGTTCAAACCTTCATTTTTTGGGGTAGTGTATAGCAATACAAATTAATATTTTAATACTGGTCGAGTCTAATACATCTTAAGTGTGGGGCATTGCAACACATTTCAAAGAGTCTAGTATTTGCTCGTACATATTTTATTATAAAATAATTAAAAATCACAAAGGCCACATTTCCCAGGGACTAACAAAAGGTTCTTAAATTTTTCATAAATTTAAAAAAATATACATTCTAACCAAACATAGATAGTTGCATTCTACATATTTTAAAGTATATGCATGCCAAATTTCCTTATCATAGGACAATATTAGGAACAAAGATTCTTGTGCACAAACTGTGAAGATAAAGAGAAAGATATGTTTGTACGTTACCATAGATATGTAGAGATACACTTTTGGAGCGAGAAAAAAAATATTTTGTTAATAATTCTCCGTTAGAAATTGAAGCTACAAAATACTGCGATGGAGAGAAGATGTCTAGGTCTTCTTGTAAAGGTTAAATGTGATGACAGCAGAGGTCGCAATTTGAAGAAGCGCGCGCAAGAATAAATTAATGCCGTTCTGGGTCGCCGGGAGGTCTTCAAATGCGTACTTGACTAATTCGGCGATCATAACTGGCACTTTTTATTTTTATACATAAAATATGAAGATTTAAAGGTAACGCACCATAAAATCCAAAATAAAATTTTTTCGCAAAATATTATTGTTCTTTTTCCTTGCATCCCCTTTAAAGGTACCGTACTAGTACATGTGAATACTTTGGAAGAGGCAACGATGAACAGCAGAAAGGCCCGTCCTTGCTCCTGTGGTAGTCTCCGTTTGGCGTATGGGTAACGGGCTGAAGTTGAGCTAGTTGGTACATAATTTAGGTAAATTGTCAGCTAGAACGATAGGGACAAAACACTGTTTTGTCGCTATCGTTCTAGCTGACAATGTACCTAAATTGGCGTATGGGACCAGGCAGCTTAGCCTTCTCCCACTTTTGGTCCCTTCTTGCGCTTTTTGAGCTGCTTCGCTGCTGATCCCCCAACCCTGCTGCAGAAACCCTCCACATCTCCTCTGAGGACGACGAGAAACCAAGGGGACGGCGACGCGGACAACGACGACGACGATGACGACGACGACGAAGAAGCGGCCGACATGGACGATTTTGTGGAGAGCGGACTTCTGGACGCGGACGATCCGGTGAGTGGCTTCTGGCACGTCGAAGAACAAAGCTCGTCTGTGGTCGACCTCACTTCCTTCTTTATTCACCCTTGCTTCTGCACGTCATTTGTTTCAGTTCAAGTCGCAGGCTTTTCTATCTTTTATTTACATCTTTACGCAAAATCTGGCCTTCTCCAATAAGGAATTCTATGTGACAGGAAGGGGGCTAAAAAGGGCAGTAAATTTTGACCACTGTGGTCACTGAAAGAAAGAACTGTCTTGCACTCCACTCTTCTCACTTAAATGAAAAACAAATATATTTCTTTGCTCGTCGACAAGTTGGGGGTTTCGTCAAAGAAACAGAAACTTGGGCAAATTTTTCAGTGGCATCGTTAATGCCAATACACCCGGGTGCCCCTTGTAGACCGATGGACGAGGTGTTGCACTCAAACATTTGCGGAACTCAGCCATTTTAGTCCAAGTGGTTTGTGGGTGGAACCACTTGAGTGGGGGCCAGCTGTAGCACCGGTTTAGACTTTCAATTCGGGACCTGCCTCGTGCCGATTTGCAGGCGACGGTGACGGCCAAGCCCGAGGTTCCGGCCGCAGAGAAGTGCAGCGCGGCGGACGAGGGGGGCATTGTGAGCACCCGCACGTACGACCTGAACATCACGTACGACAACTACTACCGCACCCCTCGCCTGTGGCTCTATGGCTACGACGAAGTGAGCGCCCCTCTTCTCACGGTTCTGTCTGTGCCGCCATGTATTCGTCGGCGCGTTCGAGTGTGTACAGTCGAACCCCCTTTACATCAATGCAAATGCAGGAACTGCGTGAACACTAAGTTTTGACAAAAGCCCTTGAATTTGAATAATGGCTAAATAGCATTACAGGCTTTGAGTTTGAAAACGTAGATAGAGTGCATTTCTTCTTATTTGCAACCAGATATGTATGTCCAATCTTTTCCCTATGGTCCACGTGTATTTGAAATTGATTCAGAACTAGAGTCCAGAAGAATAGAAGTTAACGAGGGTAGAAAGTTGGGCAAGTTGGCGATTCATAATGATAAAAAAGCGCAACAAGACGACGGACACAGAAGACGACACAGACACAGCGTTGTGTCTTCTGTGTCCGTTGTCTTGTTGCAATTTTTAATTATCAATAGAAGTTATCTTGTTCCTTGACGGACTCGTGAAAAACCTACCATGTTCCAAAACATTTCTGTACTCTCCGATCGCACAGAAGATCCCTCACCGACTAAGGGTAATTTTTGTTTGGGCTCTATAAATATGTGTGCACGTGCATTTCGGTACTGTTTAAAGGCGTCCTTGTACTTGTGCATTATTTAGTCTTTAAAGGTATCGTTAGGAAACTTGCGAATGGGAGTTGTATGACGTACATAATTTTAAAAGCAATCGCCTCCTGACACTGCATTACGCACGACTCACTTTATAGCACCCTGCTGGAGGAGTATGCCCGTGGGAATCCTTGTGAAGTCGGTCGTCGCCATTTGTGACATTTTGTGATGCCATTCAGTGTGGCTATTGAGACGTTTGTTCTCTAGAATGATCTTACGCTGGCTCTGAAAGAACCTGGGGCCTAGTGACCTTTCCCGGTACTTTTCATACACCGGTTTCATTGCCCCCGAGCTCTCCTATTGACGCGATGTCCACTGTCCCGAGTACTATGCTTTCAGGCTCTGGCATTGGGTGATTTTATGGTACACCAGCTGCTTTAGGAGCCTGCGTTGTAAATGGTCGAGAGCAATGTGCTGTTCTGGCCCCTGGTCGGAATGCACCCTGGAGATGTCTCGATCCCCGTCATGTCTCGCAGAATCGACAGCCACTGACCATCGAGGAAATGTACGAAGACATCAGTCAGGACCATGCCAAGAAGACGGTGACCATGGAGGCACACCCGCACCTGCCGGGACCACCCATGGCTTCTGTGCACCCGTGCAGGCAGGCAGCTTCTCTATGCTTCTGGGGCTTTGAGTTTTTTATAGATGGGTGGTGGTGGTGGTTGTACCATTAGGATCTTGCAACTGCTTACGACCTTGCAGCTTAAAACTTCTTAAAATCTCTGGCGACGAGAGACCACACTACATATTGAGTAGAACACTACCAGTAGGCATTTCCGTATATTTCTTTCGCACATCATTCTTTCTTGGCTCAAAACTGACAATATTATAAACAACCATTTCTTATAGATAGTATGTACATTTGGTCTCGCGAATACAGTCTAAGCTCGTTATAACAGACCTTGATTTTGACCAAGATTTCGGTCTGCTATAAAAGGAGTAGGTTGTATGCAGATATGAAGTTCAGTCAATGGTACATAGAGGAAAACCAACCAAAATTCACAAATTGGTATCTGCAAAGCCCTCCCTCTAGTGAAATGCAGTTCCAGAGCCACATCCTAATGTCACCAGCGTGCCACTGCGTTCGCTCATTGTAAGAGATCGCAAGAACTCTTGTCAGCAAATGCAAGTGTTTGAATGGGCCTTTCAAGCTACTTTGTGTTGAAACTGTCTTCTTTTTATGCCATTTTGTTCCCGATTTTATATTTGCTAACTGTCACTGGGCAGAGCAAGCACTGTGATATGGCCAGGGTTGCCTCTTTTACCCTCCCTCGCCAGTTCTGTGCTGTAGGTTCCAAACACAACGGGAGAAAGGACACCTTTATTCTTAAAATAATTGCATCAAAATTAGTTGTTCAGGGCATCCTAAACCGGTCTTTCATCCCGTATGAATAATTTGTGCATCGCAGGAACTTCCATGTGAATGTCATAGAATGAGGATGTTTGAGAACTGGTGTTGCTTGGATTGAAAGGTAAAACAGGAAAACAAAATTTCTGTATGAGCCAATATCAACCTAGGCCTGTATTTGTAAAACGGACACCAACGGCACTTAGTTCAATAAAAAAGAATTTACGGACTATCATGCGACTTGATGCGACTGGACAGTGTTAGCTGGTGCAACGTTTTTACAATACAATAATAAAACTCGTCTTAAAAAAAACAAATTATGTAAAAATTACACAATTGTAATTTTGTCTCTTGCGTACTCCCCTCTTGTGTCCCTACGCCACTCCATGCGAGTCTTCCGTTGCTGAAAGCAGTGCTGTAGGTCATTGAGCGATAAGCCCTTCATGAGCTTCGTCAATTTTGCCTTCGCAGCATGGACAGAGTCACCCCTCATTCCTTTCAACCCAGGCTTGATTTTACGGAATAGGAAAAGGTCGGATGGGGCCAGGTCAGGGCGAGTACGACGGGCGCTTCAACCCAATGACACTATGCTGAGCCAAGAACCACGTGGCCTGAAATGTGGAGGAACAAGTCATGGATCCTTTGAGACAATGTGCCAGCACACAAAGCTGTGCCAGTCATGTCGTTCCTGGCTTATCGACCGTACTCGCCTGCTTTGACCCCATCTGACGTTTTCCTATTCCCAAGGACCAAGTCTGGGTTGAAAGGAGCAAGGTTTGATCGTTGATGCTGCGAAGGCAGAAGCGACAAAGTTTGTGAGGGGCTTATCACTCGATGACCTACAGCACTGCTTGCAGCAACAGAAGATTCATATAGAGTGGTGTAGGGGAGGGCAGTGCATAGGAGACGACATCACAATTCTGTCTTTTTTTTAATATGTTTTCTTAATGATGAGTTGTTATTTAATAGCCACAGCTGGTATTGCGCTGTGATTGACCAGAAATTCAGGTGATGTCACTCAATGTCTGGCGTGAACCACAACCAATCGCGCACAGAACAGCTAGCAACAAACACGTTCTCGTGGATGTGCGCACAAATTGCTGGGTCGCACCAGCTTGCCGATTCTTTGCTCAGTAACATTCTCTTCTACGTGTTCACATGCACGCACTGCATGATCTTGACGTCGAATACGTTCCATCCAAACTCCGAGTGTGAGACCGTCGGCGCCTTCGCATCCACAGCGTTCTTTCACGGGTGCAATTACGCCGTCGAAGAGCCGCTCGTCGTCGCATTCACACGGACGTTCAGCTTTCTGCGATGCATGGTTTATTTATGTGGGCGAAAAGCTGCGTCTAATTTTCTTTCTCGGACTCTGTAGATTGGAGCGACTGGTCGGAGGATTGATCGATTGATGCGGGTGAATGCAAGCGGAACGGTTCTGTGCAGGCACGCAGAAGTGATGAAGAGGATCATCCAGACAGTGACGGAAGGCGGAGGAGAGCTGGGGGTGCACATGTACCTCATAGTGTTCTTGAAGTTTGTGCAGGCAGTCATACCCACCATTGAGTACGACTACACCCAGAACTTTGCCATGTGAAGCGTGCACTTTGTGGCTGCGTGGTTTCCACACTGTTTGAGCGAATGTAGGGAGCTGTGCTGGATTTCCAAAGTGTGTGTGCCAGTTTTTGCGACTACTGTGATGGACGTCATTGTCATTCTGGGTGAGGACATCGACGAGGTATTTTGGGGGAATTGGTGGGCGTTATGCTTGGTTGTATTACATGCCGCCGACGTAGAAGGAAAGGTTGGTGCAAGACCCTGTTTGGGTTGCTGTTTCCCTCCGTTTTGTACCAATACTGTGCACTTCTATCGCTGATTTAGTTTCCCTCTGACAGATTTGGCCTAATAAGCTCTAAACAACCTTCCACTGCAGACTGGTTCATGCAAGGGTTTCCATGCACTTACCGATTGAATTTCAACTCTCATTGCTTTCCTACAGGTGATTATGAATGCAGTAGATACAAATATAAAGCTAGTGGCAAGTAATCCCAATATTGATTTCTGACCAACCGTTATAATAGTACATAGCACTTGTTTCTTGCACGTGTGGAATTCTGTGCTTTTGCAGGCTCTTGAATGAGAAATGTTTGTAATAAAATGCCACTCGACATGGCTGGTGGAAATGTTGCGGTTGTCTCTCTTGTCCTTCCCTGGCCTTATACTTCGCACGCTCCTAAGCTGATAGGGTGGCAAAAGCTATGTGCTCGTCAGACCAGTCATACATAGATTGTTCAACACGATTGCGCTACACTTATGTGCAGAGAGGGGGTCACCCGATCAAATGCAGGCGTTTAATTCGTCTGCGAGCGCATAGATCCCACCACCCTGTTGGCTTAGGGATGAAGGAATATAAGTATTAAAGATGGTGTATAAGCATGTGGTAGTAATGCTTCACTCTCCTTACATCTTCAGCTCGATAAAAGAATCATTTGTACTGGACTGCACTCCGTGAAAGGAACAAACTGACTGGGTCCGCACTGCTTTTTAATTAGGGTAAACCACTCTGACAGTGTACATATAAACATAGCACATTTTCATTGCTTAAAAACTGGGGTAGCTCAAATGAATTTGTAATGTACCATGTTTTGAGTTGCTTTCCCGGTTCTTTAAAGGTCCATTAAAGATGTTTCTGAGCTTGTTTATTAATTGCGATAATTATCTGAACACTAAGCATCTCGGAAATAAAAAAATTGGGATTGTGAGTGTCCTATTTCCCCATTAAAATCTGTTAGTCAAAGAACGCAACATGTTCCTTATTCACAAGAACTTGAGAACCTCTTTGAGCAAATTTCTTGGAATCTGTGTGCATACCAGCAACTTTCGGTCCCTTTCGCACCGGATACAAGTATGTAGGAAGATAAGCTGTGGTAAAGCACATGCAGTGAATAAACAAAAAAAAAGGTTTTGTGTCCATGATGAGAAACCTTGGGACCAGGACAGAAGCGATAAGGAAAACACCGTCTATGGGACGGTGTTGTCCCTTCAGTTCCCGGTCTCGAGGTTTCTCCTTATGGGTGTGCACCAGCTTGCCTGCGTTTTTACTCCAGTTTCACATTTTGTGTGTATGTTCAGACAGCTGGAAGTTAGCCCGAAGGGGCGTCTGGTGTCTCGGCTGTAGATGAGAAATTGAGCCGGTGCAGTACCACTGCTAGCCTGGGGTCTTTCGAGGGATACTGAACTGAAATTTTAACTCGCAAAACGGCTCGAGCGAAAGCAGGACTCTGCAGAACCCAAAAACGTACAGCAATATCCCAAACAAATGGTCGTATTTTTAGAAAATGCGCGATTGAACACGGCCGACGAGACACGTAAAACCATGGTTCTCATTCCCTCTCCTCCTTGCTTCGTCCCGTCGGGCTGGTGAACCGAAGCGAGGAGCAATGCCGCTAAGGTGCCTGGAATGTGTCTTCGACTGGTGTTTTTGGCGTTCTATGCTGCCCATACATCAAAAGTGGTCCCCAAGTGGCAACGAATGACGTCCCAGAAGCCGGAGTGTACCGCTCTTGGGTGTCGCGATCCTGGCAGTTGGGCGTAGAAATGCTGGCGAAAAGTACGAGCAAATGAGAGTGTTGCTGTCGTCACAACGTCCAAACTCCTGAAGCTTCCGTGGGCCGTTGCACCAGAGAGCGACCTGCAGCAGGACAGGCATCTGCTACTAACACCACCACTGCTGGCACACTGTTAGGATCACGAACAGCGACAGCACGACGCTTTTGCGACGTCACCAGGCAGAAATCGAGGGACCACTTTTATGGACGCGGTAAACACACCAGCCGGAGACGTGTTCCAGTCACTGCAATGCCGCTTCCCCTCATTCTTAACTGTTCCAGAAGAATCGTGACGTCGGTCTCCTCGCTTGATCGTGCCCTAAAATACGTCCATCCGTTGGAGATACTGATGTACGAGTGATGTTTAGAGTTCGTAGTGCCCCATTCGACGCTTCTGCGGCTTTATTTTGTGAAAGCCATATTTCGGTTCAGTATCCCTCTCACAAGTGCACCACGGAGTAGTGAAACGCTCCCGCACGACGGTACGATGCTCATCCAGGTCGAAATGGGCAGGTGTGGGGATTGAACCCAGGATCCCTGTTCTGCAGCGCGAGCCATCGCTACGAGCTGCGGTGCGTGGACACGCTCGGTGACCAATCCCCCAAACGAAAAGTCGCAAGAATGAGCAGAGCAAGTTCACAAAACCTTGCATTTAATGAACTGGCAGTGACTTCATTGTACTCAGCATAGCTGTTCCCCAAATCTGAACAGTAGGGATGTCTTGCAGTTGACGCAATTTGCAGGGGAAACATTGAGCCAACATTCCCTCTAGCACAAGGAAAAGTGGGAGGTATCTTGCGAGAAAAAAATCAAGCTCTCGAAGCTAAAAGCAAGGAGAAGCTATTCAGCGCTAAACCAACCGGCACTTTATAAGCAGGTTCTTGGTTATGTCTGTACCTGGTCAATGCAAGTATGCTGCATGACGCTGCTAGCACGAACAATTTGCAAATTCTATCAGTTTTTTTTTCTTTTAGATTTGAATGACAGCCGCCAGAACTACCCTAAAATCCGAGATTCCCCACCCCCAAAAGATAGCCCACCCTTATTTTTTTGCTTTATTTGCTATATATTATTTTTGAAACACCAAGATAGAGCCCACTCATAGTAATAGTAGTGTTGGGATCAATGATGGCCTCGGCATAAATGTAGCTAGTCGGCTCTGGCGGGATATAAGCAAACGTTGCTAACTGGGAATTACAGTCATCTTTGCTTCACTGCCCCTCACCACCAAAACAAGCTTGGAAGGGTACGACCTAAAAATAGGAATTTTTTAACTTTTCTCGATTGTACACGGAAAGTTAGCCCACTCCCTATTTTCACCCAATCTGCTCTTGATGTTGGGTGGGCTATCTTTCGCGATTTTACGGTACTACTGTGTTAGAAGGGGCCCACTTGAGGCACTAATTTAAGCGGTAAAATGTACTTCCCACCAATGTGCTTTTCAAGAAAAATGGTAGGAACTGGCGATGTTCTGTTTGTGCTAAGTTTCGCAATATGTACATTGCCCTCTATGATGCTTCAGGCTCTCATGAGCTCAAATAGAGCAAGACAGGGAGCTTGGGTGTATGGAAGCACCATCAAGCACAACGCACAAAGTAGGACAACTGAGGGAGATGCATTTCTTGCAGGAAGTCCATGCCACAGAAACTTGCGAATGTATGAACCAGAACAAATTCAAACTATGCTTCTCTTTCTGCTTCACGGGAACTCCTACATTTGTCTGCGAGTCGTTCAGGAATGACTAACGTGGATTCCTGAACTTGTAATGTACATTATAGTGCATCACAGACTAATATGCATTCTAGGAACGCACATCGGCCTGAAAGTCATTTTGCAACGACTTTTGCCAGTCGCATACACTTTGACCTTCCAGGAAGCAGCTGAGTGCACTGTCCACCAATCACTATAACGATATTGTTACTTTAAATTTCTCATCAACTAGAACTGTTAACCACCAGACTGTCATGATATATTGCCTTTATGAAATTATATTTCTCCCTCTCAGCAAACAGGAACATGGCTCGAAAATGCAAAGACCCACCACAATGCAGCCATGCACCTCAGGTTCGAAATTTTTGGGCTCTGGGCTGACGTCAATATTCAAAGAAGGCATTATGCACTCAGGTACTTTTGACCTGGATTGCACCGCAAAAATCTCAGAGTAACTAGATTGGAGTGCATCTTGTAGAACAACATCCAGCTGGAAAAGGCTGGGCCCCGAGATCGACGTTTTACCGTTTTCGGGCAGAAACCAAGACTGGGCACAATTCAGTTGGGAGACACCCCAAAAACGGGAGCAACTCAGGTCTTGACCCAAAGTGAAGAATTTTCCTTATAATTGGACAACTAGAACTTTCAAGGGTGTTATTGCTGGATGCTATTCCCAGTCAAAGGCAATAACCGATAAAAACAAGGCCACCATTTTCAAGGGTTCTCCTCGCCCTGCGACATCGGACTCTCTTCTAGAAGACCGGGGAGGCCACTGTAGTCGTGGTCTATGAGCTTGCCCAGCCCACGGGTCATGCACTTCCTGTAGAAGGAATCGAGCACGGCGTTGGTGGTCTTGAGGGCCGAGATGAGGTAGTCCGCCTGGTTGGGCAGCGGCAGCTCCCTCTCGGAGAGGAACTCCGCTGCCTTCACGCATGTCTCGTTGAGGCCGTGCAGTGCCTGGATCATCTCCAACTTCTTGGGGTGGCCCTGCAACGCGAGCTGCGGTGGTGGAAGGTTGGAGAAGAAGAAAGTCTGGCTACCCGCAGGCTCCGGCACCTCTTGCACTTCCTCCACTTGCTCCACCTTACAGCAGGGATCCTCGATGACCTCCGTCGGCTCGTAAGAGATGGAGCACTCCACGTTCTGTTGGAGGCCCCGCACCACACAAGCATGAATATGCTTGCACATGTATGTGCAAGGACAGGTGCAGGCGTAGAGGTGAATGCAGACATCACACTCGTTGCAGCGCTGAGGGCAACTGGTGTCCCGGCAGGCAAACACTTCCGACACTTCGTACACGCCTCCGTTGTCCTCGACGGACCACCGGTCATCGCCGAGCCGGGTGATGTCTTCCGGCGGAATGCTGAGGGCCACCTGGTGTGCCTGGATGACCAGAGCCATCTCGCGGGCATTCCTACCCCGCACGCACTTGGCGAAGTGTTCGCACTGCTTTGATTCCGACGTCAGCAGTAGCGTGTGGGCGAGCTTGTCGAGGCGTTTTGCCTTCATGCGGGTGGCAAGTCTCTTCAAGAGCTTCTGGAACATGTCAGAGTCAATGTTAACGTCCCTCACATAGCAATGGGCCCACTGTTCGGGGCGTTCCGCATATGCAGATTCAAAGAACTCTGCGAAGCTCGAGGTTTCTTCATCCTGTTTCAGCTCCCCCATTAGGGCTGCCACAGAATCTTGGAATGTGTCGACGAGCTCCTGGCACTTGATGTTGTCAAGCGCCTTGCTGATACTGGCCCGCTTGTCTCGGTTCTTGACGCACGAGTTCAGGGCTTCTGCCCAGGCCTTGGTGATGTGCCACGGCGAGAGTAGCTTGTGCGGCTTGTGGTCTGCTCCAGAGGCGTCCAACCATGCCGAGTAGTAGTAGTCAGAGTCGTCGGACATGAGATACTGAGGCTTCAGCTCCGGCATGTTCTGGCAGACGGCCCGGTAGAAGGCTTGCACGACGGCCGAAGTGACCACGTTGCAAATGCACCAGGCGACGGGCGACACCTCCTCCGGCCCGTTGGCGGCCAGCAGCGCGATCAGAGTGAACTTGGAGTCCGGCGCGACCACGGGCTCGACGCAGAGCAGGGTGGCCCTGCCGGTCTCGTCGAGCAGCGTGTCCCGCTGGTACTGCGTCTGGATGACGAGCACCATGTCGTCCTGTCGCAGGGACCGGGCCTCGGGCTGCGCCACGCTGCCCATCGGCTTGTAGAGAAGGATTGGGCTGTAGGCCTGGCACGCGAAGCGCTCGGCCAGCTTGCGGACGCTCTCCTCGTCGTCGACGTCGAGCTTCCAGGTGAGCAAGCCCTCCGACACGGCGATGTTCCGGATGTCGCCCATAGTGATGAGGTGCGTCCGCGTGATGTCTTTCGAGTTGGCCGGGAAGTCGCTGCGGATGGTCTCCAGGATTCGGTCGAAGGGGACGCCGCGGCGTATCTCTTCCACGATGGCGCTGCGATCCGCCGTCGAGATCCGCAGGTGCGCCACGTCCAGGTCGTGGCCATAGTGGGTCAGACAGCCGTTCACCTTCACGGCACCCGTGACCAGGCACTCGCGGGCGTTCAGGTACGCCGTGCACCAGCCGCCCATCTTGCAGGATCCCTGGACTTTCACCCTACGCTGTCGCGCAGTCACCTTGAGGTTGCTCGCGCCCGAGCGGTGGCAGACGTAGCGATGGACGCTCGCCTTTCCTTGCACATCGCAGGCCCTCGCCGCAAACTGGGTCCTGTTGGCGTTGGACACAAGGTCCATCCACTGGCGGAACTCGGCCATGGAGTCGAACTGCTCCTGGACCTCGACCAGCGCAAAGTCGTGTTCGACGACAAGGTGATCGCGCATGTCGTCCCGTCGCGTGGCGACGAAGGAACAGCCCCGCTCGCCGCACCGGACCTCGCGGCCCGGCGTGCTCGACCTGGCCGGGTCCGGAGGAACCTTGTGCACACGCTTTTTGTGCTTCGAGAGGCTGCCCGAAGTGCTGAACTGCTTGTAGCACAGCGGGCAGCGGGAGAACTTGCCCACTTCCGCCATTCGGCTTCAGAGCAATCGCCCGACGGAAAGGGACATGTCAGAACGTTGACAGCTCCACGGTACGTCGCTGCCACAGGGAAGCGACTGACGACAGCAGTGGTGACAAGATCAAAGCGCGAACTTACATTTAAATTACGTTGGCAATGCACCGGAACGATGCAGTAATAGAAACCGATGCCGAAATTAGAGCTGCGGTAAATCCAACCTTGGCAGTTCACGTGATCCTTGTACAAACAAGTGGATGTAGCATCGCTGAGATTTGCTACACGAAGAGAGGAATATGTCATAATGAGGTGTTTTTTTTTTTTAATAGGGTGGCTGGTTGCGTCATCTACTGACTTCTATGCCCACGCGCCAGTGGCTTTCCGTAAGCGGAAAGCCACTTGCGCGCTTTCCGCTTACGCAAGTGAAGCCATCTTGCATGTGGCTAAATTTCGTTTTCGCTAGTGTTGCAGAGGCTGGCGACAGCGTGCTGAAGACACGCTTTCTAATTTTTCGTCGTCATTCGCAGCAGAAGTTTGTTAAAACACTGTGTAAGCGTTGAGACTTGCCGTGGAGAACATGTGGAAAGTATTACGAAAGAGCAGTGCCGCAGGAACAATGCAGAACACGTTGAAAGCAAGTTTCGCCAGTCTCGCGGCATGATCAAAGCTTCCTTGGCACGCCGAAGTGCTGCGTCTCTGTTCCTTCGCACGCTTGGATACCTTTCGAGGATCGACTCTGCGGCAGTTTTGAAAGGGGTGTCGCGCGTAGATGTCTTTGCATCATATATCGGCCATTCTGGATAGCCCAGCTGTTCCGGCGAGTTCCTATCAATAAAGGGTAGAAAACAATCTGTACGGTTACTCTTATGCACTGTTAACCATGGCTATGTTCCAAATCTACTCTACTGGATCACATGACAGCACAAATAGAGCATGCTGTGGAGCAAGGATGGTTTTCGAAGATAAAATACAAGACGGCGAGATTGAAAATCTTTGAAGACCAGGCCCATGGGGTCGTGTGCAATCTGTTGACCAATCACAAGTAGGCGAGCCTCGCTCAAACTTGATGTCACGTGCAATGGTTGATAATGAGCCAGACCACTAATCAGCGATGAGGAGCTATTGCGCGGTTATCTGTAAACCGTCTAACGACGAAAAAAAAAAAGAGACGTACCTTTCCCCCTCTTTCGTCGCCACTGGACGCTGGATCAAGCTCGTTTCTGGACTGCGAGTGCCGCAAGTCACAAATACAGTCGTCGGAGTGATGTGAAACCCTGCTCAAGAGGCACATACGTAGGCTGACCACCTTCCTGCTAGCGAAATGCGGGACACGCGGGGCGAGGGAGGAGGGAGGGGGGGATAGAGAAGATTTATTTACACGCGCTCAACGAAACGAGGCTCTGTTGACACATTTGTTATCCTGTACCGTTTACACACCTGCAAATTGTATTGCAACAATTAAGCTCAAATCATTTCCACTCCCAGTGATATTTTTTTATTTAATGCCCAACACGTTATTAAATGTGTCGAAGTTGAAAACAGAACAATCGTTTGTATCAGAACTCAATGCATCAAATGGATATAAGAAACAGTAAATCTTTTTTCGGGTTTTTGTCTCCTGTCTACGCTTGCTTTTATCAATATGTTCCTATACAAATTTTTAACGTTATGTTCTTGTTCGACAAATGCAAATGTGGCGGTCTTCACAAAAAAAAAAAAAAAAAAAACATTACGCAGCAATTTTTTTGCGCAGCAATTCAAAAAAATAATTACAATATTTTAAACTTGGCGAGCAATTTTTCTTACAATATTTTGCCACCAAAGGGAGAGGCACAACGGCGCATGCGCGTCGGCCCTCCTCTAAGGACGACGGTCGCTTCCCGCAATGGTTGGATAGAAAATGGCGTACCCTTTCGATTCAGACGATTACCAGCAACTTCCGCGTTCCTCCGTGCCCCGTTGTTCGGCAGCACCATGAGTTGCGGAGTGAATTTTACGACACTGTGAAATGCGGGACATTTTGAAGATTTTTGAATTTCTCGCGGGACGCGTGACACGAGCCCTCATGCGGGACAGTCCCGCGAGTCGCGGGACGGGATGTTTTGAATGACGAGAAGTGTTGTTCATTCGTTGTTAAATGCCTCACATGTATCTTTTATTATGTACCAATGCCTGCAATAATCCCTTCGGGGGTTGGCAGTATTTTGAAATAAATAAATAAATAAAACACATCCACATGGCGTCGAACCTTGATCGGTATCCAGGCGTGCGAGGGCACAGAGAAAGAGCACTTCGGCGTGCCAAGGAAGCTTTGATCACGCCGCAGGCCGTCAAGACTTGCTTTCGGCGAGTTGTGCCTTTTTCCTGCGGCACTGCGTTTTCGTCAAATTTTCACTCGTTCTGAAGGGCATGTCTCCACGCCTACACAGGGTCTTAAATAACTTCTGCGAAAGACGACGAACGAGTAGAAAACGTGTCCTCAGCACGCTGCCGCCAACCCCCGCAACGCTAGCGAAAACGCAATTTCTCCGCATGCAAGATGGCCGTCTGGTTGCTTCGTTGCTTCACTTACGGTGCAGCAACCGCAGCAACGTTGAACCGCAGCTATAGAGTTATTATAATGTTACACTAGAGGCAACGTTGGCTAGAGGTTCAACTGGCGCTAGTGTCTATGCGACTTCCGTGACGCAAATTGAAGCAGACAGCAACCAGTCTGCTTTTGCGGTGCTCCTGTGCATTCCTATGGGAAAACGCGCGTGCATTTGTATCTTCGCCGGAGAGTAACACGGAACACTTTGGTTATTTGGGTCATACCGAATAGTATGTACCTTGATTGACACTGAGTAGTTCTGGCCGTCTCTCTTGGCTTTCCAGATGTCCTTCGTTCGTTTGGCACGTATATCCCTCATGCTTTAGTTAGCGCATTTTTCTTCATCGGTGAACGAGGTTTAACATCTCTACATTTCAGTCTCAAACATGTGTTCCGCAGCAGGTGTGTAAAAACAAGCGACGATTCAAAGCAAAATTACGATCAAAAGGAATATAGAGTGCGTTCAAGGTTCGCCAGTATTCCGGTGACGCTTATATATTGCTAATATACCAGTCCTCTCATTATATGAAAATGACCCCGTTTTGCATGAGCGGATAAAAAGCATTCAAAACGTACTAAACAATAAAGTACGTGGCGGTGACCGGTGTCTATTCGTATTGTTTTCTCTGCCGGGCACCTTTTAAGCATGCGTATAGACACTTGTTCTCAAAGATTTCGAGCGTGCGGGTGATATTTTGAACGTAGAACAAGCATCTTCGCGCAGAGCAGAAAGAATAAAGCGGTACTTATTTAAAATCGGAATATATTATGCGGCCTTCCGTTTATTTTGATCGTACATGCACCGGTAGTTACTGATCCAGTGTTTACTGAGTAGTTCTGGCCGTCTCTCTCGGCTTTCCAGATGTCCCTCGTTCGTTGCTGAAAAGCGCCGACGTCGTGTTCGCGCTAACAGTGTCCTACAGTGCGCCTAAATATACGTACGAAGGCGTTTTAGCACCATTTTTAATGCAACGAATCTGAAAGAAAAACGCAGTAACTGACCAATTATTTCGTTGGCCTGACTGAGAAATGTTCCAAGCTACCTAGTACGTACGAATTATTCGGGATATTTCCTTTTATGATCGAGCGCAGGGAGAAAATGTATTCCCGTACGAAAATGTCAGATCGGAGCGGCTCCAGTTCGGATCGGCGGGATTCTAAACTTGTGGACAGTTCCGATCCGCGCGATTCTGGGAGTAACCAGTCGGATCCAGGGAGACGCAACGCACTGGAATCGCACAGTGTTCGGTGGATCCGATCCGCTCCCCTTGTTCCAGTAGGGTCTGCTCCCAGCCAGCGGGCGCGCACATGCGTGACTGGAGGAGGGGAGGGAAGGGTGGGGTGGGTGGGGGGGGGGTTGGCGGGGAATTTTTGCGGTTTCTCGCAGGTCACGTGTTAAAGCCCGTTCACACTCTTGCGACTGCTTGCAACCTCTTAAACCTGGGTTCCTTAAAACTTCCTAAACCAGAGAACACACTGGCGCCATCTATTGGGAAGCAGTGTAAACTCGGCGGTCCGGCATATTTTTTTTTATTTCTCGCGCAATATCCTTTCTTTTTTGGCTCGAAAAGCTTTTGTCAATGTTATAAACGAGCCTTTCTATGGGTATTACGCGCATTTGACCTCGGAAATCCCGCAAAACCTTCGCTTTTGTGAAATGCAGTTCTAGGGTCACCGCATAGATGGCGCAACAATGTCAGTGTGTTCCCTCATCCAACATTTAAGAAGTTGTAAGAGATCTCGTCTCTCTCAGTCGTACTCGGTCGCAAGAGTGTGAACGAGCTTTAGGGACAGGCGCATCCGCTACGCAGGCGCTGCGAGCGGGCGTTCTCCGCGCGCGCGCCTGGCTTTGTCTGTTGTCTGTTGCAGTCGGCGGCAGCGCAGCGCCGAGAGTTTAGTCAGTTTAGTTTCTTCTTCGCTCTCGTCGAACTGTCAGTCGGCGCTCGCCGGTGCGACATTCCCGATGCGGGCCCACGGATACTGACGCGCCCATCGTTGCCCTGGATGGATACCCACTGACCTCGGCTTTGAATCTTTATATAGTGTGAAGCTGCTGACCCATCCCGTACGAAAATGTCAGATCGGAGCGGTTCCATTTCGGATCCGCGGGGTTCTAAACTTGTGAACAGTTCAAATCCGCGCGATTCTGGATGTAACCAGTCGGATCCAGTGAGACGCAACGCACTGGAATCGCACGGTGATCGATGAATCTGATCCGCTCCCGTTGTTCCAGTAGGGTCTGCTCCCAGTGGCTCCCAGCCAGCGGGCGCGCACATGCGTGACTGGAGGAGGGGAGGGAGGGAGGGGGGGGGGGGGGGGGGTCGGGGGATGGCGGAGAACTTCCGCGGTCTCACGCAGGTCACGTGTTAGGGACAGGCGCATCCGCTACGCAGGCGCTGCGAGCGGGCGTTCTCCGCGCGCGCGCTTGGCTTTGTCTCTGAGAGTTTAGTTTGTTCATCGCTCTCGTCGGACTGTTTGTCGGCGTACGATCGGCGGCGACGTTCGCGCTGCGGGCGCACGGAAACTGACGCGCGTGTCCATCGTTTCCCTGGATGGATACCCACTGACCTCAGCTTTGAATCTTTATTTAGCGTGAAGTTGCCGACCCATTGCACTTTCGCTCGGCATCTGGATGCGCTTGGCGCTGGTGTGCTTGGTGACAATACTTGAACAACTCGGATACCGCTTGCCCGCCGGAACTTCCCGGTGCACTCAACACTGGGTACTGTGCTTGTGCGTGCTGTGAGTGTGTTCTGTGCACTGTGTTTAAAGACGACGCGACGACGCCTGGACGACCGTGTACGCCGCCGGAATTACCGCTGCGGCTGCGCTCACCACTGGACTCTACAAAAGTCTTTCGTGCGATGCCCTTAGCCGTTACAAGGGGGAGATCGTCGCGATTTCAGACCTAGTCCGCCTGAGTCTGAAATCGCGACGATCTCTGTTGTAGCGGCTAAGGGCATAACACGAAATTATTTTGTAGAGTTGAGTGGTGAGCGCAGAGGGAATTCCGGCGGTGCACCGCCTGGGTTTAAAATTGGGGCTGGAAATGCGCGGTTCCAGGCTGGATACAAACTGCTGCCCCCATTTTGGGTCTAGGCGGAACCGGCATTTTTCATTCCGGCCTGGATGTGACATTTTCGTACGGGATTGCACTTTGGTTCGGCATCTGGATGCGCTTGGTAAAAAATACTTGGACAACTCGGATACCGCTTGCCCCCCGGAACTTCCCGATGCACTCCAACACTGGATACTGTGCTTGTGCGTGCTGTGTGTGTGTGTGTGTGTTCCGTGCACTGTGTTTTGGTGACGACGCGCGCCTTGCATTGTCTTCATATTAAAAATAGCGCAAAAGAGACGAAACAAAAAGACGAAGAAGCACACAGCACAGGCGCTTGTCCTGTGTGCTTCTTCGTCTTTTTGTCCTGTCTCTTTTGCGCTATTTTTAATATGAATGCCCATTACCAAGGGGGATCGATGGCCGAGTGGGCTAGCGCACACCAGCTCGGAGCGAAAGTTCGCGCTGAAGAACCCAGGGATCCTGGGTTCGAGCCCCACCTCTGCCCGTTTCGATCTGGATGAGCATCGTACCGGCGTGCGGTCGTGTATCACTACTACGTGGTGCACGCTAAAAACCCCAGGCTAGCGGTTTTACCGCACTGGCTAAATTGCTCATCTACAGTGGGTAACAATGTCGCCATGTTCTGGCAGACTACAGTTCTGCTGTATAGACGAACTCATCTCTGTTACGTCACGGCGCGGTGGTGGCGCGTCGGTCGCACTTCCGGTCGGGGACTGTGGGCAGAAGTCCCCATGCCAGACGTGTATTCCTGCATTATTTTGAAAGGAACCAGACAAATACCTGCCTTCTCGTCAAAACGCCGCGACTGGGGCCGTACCAAAAGTGTCGAGAAAGGGTTGAAGGTCAGTTTTCACGTGCTCGGTTCGTCCGAGAATCTGGATATGTTCCGTGAAAAGGGGAAAGCAGACGCCGTCGGACAACAATTGCTTGGGCGGGAAGCACTTTTGGTTGAATTCACGCATACTTATGGTCATCAGATTTATTTGTTTTGTTCCAACATGAACGCCAGAAAACCGTCAAGTTGTGCGGACCACCTGCGGACTACGTCTAGTGCGCCTTCAAGTTCAAACGGCCGCCTGATCGTTCGAACTGTCGTCTGCTCTTTCAAACGTTTCTGCTTGTCGTCTGCTCTCTTAGACGACGCCGGCCCGTAGACCAATTGTTGGCCCGGTGCTTGCGATAAGAAGTAAGTGCAGGCCTCAAAAGACTTAAATTTGAAGGTTGGTAAGCAGGCTCGATAAAACAGTAGATACAAGGAGATGTTGATCATTGTTACCATTAACCATCACCGACTTGTTAGGCCTAATTCACTTGGTCCGATCCTGCTTGCGATGTTTAGTATCAACGTCGACTATCTCAGCTACGGTTCACGCTTTTGCAGCCCGAGCGGCGTCGCGACTGAAAATTGCGAGCGAAATCGCATCATGCAAATCAGGCTTTAGCGTACATACTACGGCGTCCACGCGGAATGAATCGCCACATGTCACATTATTCACGCGAAGTTTTGCGGTGTAACGAGCCTCGGTAATTTCGCTGACGCCGCTCAAGTAGTCAGACATCGTCAGGAAGACGTAGAATCAACAATTTGAACGTGAAAAAGGGCAGGGGGACTCACACCGACGCCGACAACATCGCGTTCCAATGGTTTGTTTATGGGCGACGGTGAGCTTTTTGCCCACACCCCCATCGCGCATGCGCGGCGCTGGTGGCGTCCGCTAGGGGCGCTCCGGTTTGTTTGTAAACATGAGTTGGTGTATAAATAACTAACGACTAATTTTTTTTTTTGTCCATTACCAACTTGCCCAGTAGACCAAACTTTTACATTGCATTGTCTGTTGCAGTCGGCGGCAGCGCTACGAGAGTTTCGGTTCTCCTCCGCTCCCGTCGGACTACCGGCCGGCGCTCGCCCGGCGCCACCGTTCGCGCTGAGGGCGCACGGATACTGACGCGCCTATCGTGTCCCTGGCTGGATACCCACTGACCTCGATTTTGAATCTTTATGTAGTGTGAAGCTGCCGACCCATTGCAGTTTGGCTCGGCATCTAGATGCGCTGGTGTGCTTGGTGACTTTGTGACAATACTTGGACAACTCGGATACCGCTTGCCCGCCGGAACTTCCCGGTGCACTCAACACTGGGTACTGTGCTTGTGCGTGCTGTGTGTGTGTTCCGTGCACCGTGTTTAATGACGACGCGACGACGCCTGGACGACCGTGTGCACCGCCGGAATTACCGCTGCGCTCACCACTGGATCTCTACAAAAGTCTGTGGCGATAGCCACTGAGAAAAGAAGAAGAAGATCGCGTGCAAATAAAAACGAGGAAATCAGTTCGATTTTGGAAAGCGTCAGACGTAGTCGCTTTTCGTCTGTCTTTCTCTACATTGGTGACCCGGACGTCCCAGCATGGAACGTCCAGACGTTCCCCGAGCTGATGCTGGGCTTCCTGCAACCTCCGCTGCGACCGTTGGCGCCTACGCTGTTCGCCTGCCTCCATTCTGGGCACAGCACCCAGAAGTCTGGTTTCTTCAAGTCGAGGGAAGCTTCCGACTGGCCAACATAATATCCCAAGAGGTACGGCTCAGCCATGTCCAGGCTTCGCTGCCGTGCGAAGTGGCGCTGGAGGTCTACGACATCCTCGCACGGCCACCTGCGACGAACCCGTACGATGCGCTCAAGACTGCCATTTTAGAACGCACAATGCTTTCGGAACGCAAACGCCTGCAGCAGTTAGTCTCAGCAGAAGAACTGGGCGACCGTCGCCCATCGCAACTTCTGCGCCAGATGCAGGCGCTTGTCGGCGACCGTGCCGCGACGTTCGACAGCCAGTTCTTGAAAGAGCTGTTCTTGCAGCGACTCCCATCGTCGGTGCAAATGATCCTGGCGACTGCATCCGACTTGTCCTTGCCTGCCTTGGCTCTCCACGCCGATAAGATCATGGAGGTTGCAAGCCAACACCCGTCAACATCTACCGTCTCATCAGTACAGCGCCCCGAGCCCGCCACTCCAGCGACTCGCGCACCCATACCGGCCGCGGTTACTCGGGATGAAATCGCAGCACTGCGAGAAGACGTGCAACAACTACAGGAACTTGTCACAAGCACATTGCGCCTTTCACGACCTCGCAGCCCTAGGCGATCCTCACAGACCAGAAGCTCCCACCGTCGTTCTCCGTCGCCACAGGCGAACCACCAGCCAAGGCATAACCAACAGAGGCAAGAGCAACAGCACTGCTGGTATCACCAGCGCTTTGGAGCTGCTGTGGAACGCTGCACCAGGCCTTGCAGCTGGTCGGAAAACAAGACGCGGGATCGCTAGTGGCGACGAGCGCTCCCCCAAATAAGCAAGGTCGCCTGTTCTACATTACGGACGCTACCAGTGGACTGAAGTTCCTGGTCGACACAGGAGCTGAAGTAAGTGTGCTACCCGCAAATTCTTTTGACTGTACACTTACTCCTATCTGCCACCTGCAAGCGGTCAACAGCTCCAACATCCCCGTCTACAGGAAGAGGTCAATCTCGATCAACCTTGGCTTGCAAAGGACGTTTCGTTGGATCTTTCTTGTAGCCAAGGTCAGTCACGCTATTCTAGGAGCGGATTTCTTGTCCCACTTCTCTCTCCTAGTAGACATGGCCCAAAAGAAAATTCATGACTCAACCACAGGCCTTTTCGTCACCGGCCAAACCTCCACACTCCAGCCGTTTGCTTTCACACTTCGCCAACCAATACAGTCGCCCTACGGGGACTTGCTGAGCGAATTCCCATCGTTAACGGCAGCTCCCGACTGGAACAAACCGGTCAGGCATGATGTCGTCCACCGCATCATCACCAGCGGTCAACCTACACACGCGAGGTCTCGTCGGCTAGCTCCTGAAAAGCTTCGCGTCGCTCAGCAAGAGTTCCAACACATGGTGGAGATCGGCATTGCTCGCCCATCCTCGAGTAGTTGGTCCTCTGCACTCCACCTAGTCCCGAAGAAAACAGGCGACTGGCGGCCCTGCGGCGACTATCGCAGCTTGAACGTGACTACAGTCCCCGACCGTTACCCCATCCCCAACATTCAGGACTTCACCACCAACCTGAACGGATGTACCATATTCTCGAAACTCGACCTACAGAAAGCGTACCATCAGATCCCGGTCGCTCCCGAAGACGTAAAGAAAACCGCAATCGTCACACCGTTTGGACTTTTCGAGTTCACACGGATGCCTTTCGGTTTGCGAAATGCCGCGCAAAGCTTCCAACGCTTCATCGACGCCATTCTCCGTGGACTACCTTTCGTTTTCGCCTACGTCGATGACGTTCTTGTCGCCAGCTCATCGCCGGAGGAACATCTACGCCACCTGCGCCTAGTATTCGAGCGTTTCGCTGAACATGGCCTGATCATCAACGCAGAAAAATGTGCGTTCGGCGTCCCGTCCTTGGAATTCCTGGGCCACGTGGTAGACTCCAATGGCATCCGACCTCTTCCCGACAAGGTGAAAGCGATCACCGATTTCCCACGTCCAGAATCGCTCCGCCAGCTCCGCCGTTTTCTGGGCCTGGTGAATTACTACAGGCGGTTCATCCCAGGTTGCGCGGCAATGTTACTTCCCCTAGAAGCGCTCCTTCGAACTACGAAGGGTACAACAGCCACTGTTTATTGGTCTGACGCTGCAGACAACGCTTTCACTACCATCAAGGAGCGTCTCGCTTCTGCTACCCTCTTAGTTCATCCAGAGCACGACGCCCCCACGAGCGTGATGGTTGATGCCTCTGGATACGCAGTAGGAGGGGTGCTGCACCAACGCATCAACAACGAGTGGCTCCCGCTTGGGTTCTTCTCCAAGAAACTTACACCAACCGAGCAACGATAAAGTGCCTTCGGCCGTGAACTCCTCGCGGCTTACCTTACCATCAAGCACTTCAGATTCTTCCTGGAAGGACGATCGTTTGTGATCTTTACAGATCACAAGCCACTAATCAATGCCTTCAGATCATCTAAGGCCACATACTCTCCGAGAGAGACGCGACACTTGGCATTCCTAGCTGAATTTTCTACCGACATTCAGCATATCAAGGGCGTCCACAACATCCCCGCCGACACCCTCAGCCGCGTCTCCGCAGTTCAGTACCGCGGGTGTGACCTTAGACAACTCCCTGCTCTACAGGAGAGTGACGAAGAGCTCCGCAACCTTCGCTCTTCCCCAACCTCCTCTCTCCATCTTGAGGACGTTTACTTCTCCGACTTGGACACAAACATCGTTTGCGACGTCGACCCGGCGACCGGACGGAAACGGCCTTATCTGCCCTTGCCACTTCGGCGTCGGATCTTCAACAACCTTCATGCACTCTCACACCCAGGCATCCGCGCTTCTCAAAATCTAATCGCGGAACGATTTGTCTGGCCTGGGATGAACACTGATGTCCGCGCGTGGGCACGAGCATGCATTGCTTGTCAGCAGAGTAAGGTGTCTCGGCACACCATCACGCCTTTGGCAAAGTTTGCACTCCCCGACACGCGCTTTGCCAGCATTCACGTGGACCTCATCGGACCCCTACCGTCATCGCAGGGCTAGCGGTACCTCCTAACCGTCATCGACAGGTTCACGCGCTGGCCGGAGGCTTGTCCCATCAAAGACATCACTGCCGAGACTGTCGCCTCTGCGCTTCTGTCCACCTGGATCTCCCGCTTTGGGGTTCCCGCCGAAATCGTGACCGATCGCGGACGCCAATTCGAATCGGCCCTTTTCCGAAGCTTGACAACTCTTCTTGGCATCGCTCACTTGAAGACCACAGCCTACCACCCGCAGGCAAATGGTTTGGTTGAGCGGTTCCATCGCCATCTCAAGGCCTCCCTCATGGCCCACTCCACACCAGATAAATGGGCCACGTCTCTACCCATCGTCCTCCTAGGGTTGCGCACAGCCATAAAGGAAGACCTCGGATGTGCCGCATCACATCTAGTTTATGGAACATCACTGCGCCTCCCAGCTAAATTGGTCAGCCCTACCACACGCGCGATGCCCTTAGCCGTTACAAGCGAGAGATCATCGCGATTTCAGACACAGTCCGGCTGGGTCTGAAATCGTGACGATCTCTCGCTTGCAACGGCTAAGGGCATAACACGGAATTCTTTTGTAGAGTCCAGTGGTGAGCGGAGCGGAAATTCCGGCGGTGCACCGCCTGAGTTTAAATTTGGGGCTGGAAATGCGCATTTCCAGGCTGGATACAAACTGGTGCCCCAATCTTGGGTCTAGGCGGAACCGGCATTTTTCATTCCGGCCTGAATCTGACATTTTTGTATGGCACTTTTTCCCATAGAAACGCATTACCGGAAGTAAGTTTTCGACTGGTTGCTGTCTGCTTCAATTTGCGTCAGCACAATAGCGCCACCCGAACCTCTAGCATACATTATAATATAATATAACTCTATGACCGCAGCGACCACGAGGAAAGCGCGATCCAGTAATTGTCATAGAGGTCATTGACGCCATATATGTTTCTCTTAGCCCTCTTAGCAAGCGAGAAATAAGAGGATGGGTGCACGTGGTTTAATCCTTTAAATCAGGTGTCGACTTTCGCTACCTAGTGAGGGAAATAACAAATAAACTCTAAAAACTACAATCTTAGTGACGGAAGTTTCTTTTCACAGTCGGGCGCGTCACTTACTGCATGGTCGCTATTGGCGACGTGAGCGATCGAAAGCGTCGCTGTGGTCGGCCCACCGCAATTGGCCCAATGCTGACTATGACGTCAGCAAAGGATGTCTCATCGACGGAAATAAGAGGAATGTAAGAACCTTAATTTTGACGGTGTTGGCAGTGTTGCTTTGAGAGCACTTTGATTTCAGGCTTCCACCATGCCCATTACAAACACCATCGAACTTGTTGTTCACAAGGTAATGACGTCACGAAAGGCAACCGAACGAGGGCGCCACCGAAACATCTCGCCGCTAATACTCTGTTTCACCTTATGTTGTACCGCTGGGAAGGCTGTAAGCGCGAGCTCCTTGCTCTGGGGCAGATCTCGGCGGCATAAGCTCTCGTGCAGTAAGGGCAGCTGTCAACGCTATGAGCTCGCGCTTCTATCCTTCGCTGCGGTACAACATAAGGCGAAACGGAGTATAATTGTGAGTTGAAAAGTTCCAGCCAGTGGAGCCCTCTTAGTGTGAAGGGGTCCGTGCGTGTTCTTTGGAGGAAGAAAAAGAGGAGTTCTTCGCGAGCAGCCGTCGGTGTCGGATGTCTTTTGCTGAGCTCAGCCTCACAGGGTTTGAGAGGTAGGCTCTGAATCCTACATGGTGTTATAAGTGGGATATGGCAAGCTCTGATAGCACGTACTTGGCGAGACAGAAGTTAGGACTCAAGAGGTTCTTCACCCGTAGGAATGCTGCCGGCCTGCTCAGGACCCCAGACCCATACGTTGCTTGACGTTTTCACGAGTTCATACGTGGTTTGCAGCTCAGTGTGGAGACTGACCATATGCACCTGGTATCTCTCTTCGGCAAGATGGAGTTAGACATGTTGCCCCCTCGCATCCAGCGCCTTCGTTTAAAGGCGCGTTCACACTCTTGCAACCGAGTACGACCGAGAAAGACTTCTTGGGACCGGATGCACTGAGCGGAGCTGGTCCTAAGAGATCGCAAGAGGCTTAAAAACCGGTTTGGTCTCTCTCGGTCGCACTCGGTTGCAAGAGTGTGAACGGGCCTTAAAGCAGATGCAGTATCGATTATGCATGCTGTATGTGCAGGGCAAACAACGGCAGACACACTCTCCAGAGCATCCCAGAGAACGGGGTCTGAAGACAAGGGCAAGGACTCCCTTTACACATTTGCAATTGTAGCACTGGAAGACACGTCTGTTGATCTTCCGCTCCTCACCGCGGAAGTCCAAGCTGCGCAACAGACTGACGGAGAGTGCTGTGCACTCAAACGGTATTGCGAGGTTGGATGGCCGACGAAGCACAAGCTGCTCGTCAAATGGTCCAAGGATTGGTCTGTCCGAGGCGAGCTGTCGCTGTGCAAAGGAATAGACCGATCTCATCCGCCAGTTTGACTACGCCACCGCTGCCGCAATGTATCGAGGGAACTTTAGTCTTTCTGCACGAGCGACAAACTCGCTGGAGCTCTGCGCGTGTAAAGCACGAGACGGCACGAGCCATCTCGTGTAGTGCCGTTTGTCTCCTGTGAACTAAAGTTATGGCGACGTCACGCATGCGTCGAACGCTTGATGAGATCGGTCTATTCTCAAGGGCCCCAGGCTCCTCATACCGGCCGACTTACGACAGGCAATAGCTGTGTGCGCAAATGCTGAGCGCGTTCT